AGGACTGGTGTAAGAAATATACCACCTGTGCTATGGGTAATGGACCTCAACGAAAAAGGAAGGCTTCCATGAAGCAATACAATGTTGGTAGTCCATTAGAGAGGATCGCCTTAGATATTGCTGGATCATTCCCCGTAACTGAGGATGGTAATAAATTTATTTTGGTGGTAATGGATTATTTTACAAAGTGGGTGGAAGTCTACACCATTTCAAATCAAGAAGCCGCAACTGTTGCAGATGTGTTGATAAAAGAGTTTTTCTGTCGATTTGGATTGCCCTTGAAGATCCACAGTGACCAAGGCAGAAATTTTGAAAGTCAACTTTTCCGTGGAATCTATGACATACTAGGCATGAAGAAAACCAGAAACACAGCATTGCACCCACAATCCGATGTAATAGTAGAGCGAATGAATAAGATCATTGACAAATATCTGTTAAAGGTAGTTTCAAACCATCACCGAGATTGGAATCAGTATCTTTCGCTCTTTGCTTATACATCCGCTGTTAATGAATCAACAAGCCAAACACCAGCAAAGGTCCTGTTTGGTCGTAAGATGAGACTATCGTGCGACCTCGAGTTTGGATGCCGACCTGGAGAAGATGTATCTGGTGAAGTTTATGCGATCCAGTTACGAAGAAGAATGGACGATATGCATGAATTGCTCAGCTCGCATCTTCAAATCGCCAGAGACAGGATGAAGAAACGATACGATACCCAAGCTACAGAGGGATGTTTCAAGGAAGGCTCCATAACTCAAAAAGGCAGAAAGGTTACTCTCCGAAGCTTCAAAAATTTTGGGAAGGTCAGTGTAATGTATTCAACCGAAAGGGCCTTGTATATCAACCCAAACATTACCCCCTCTTCCGCTACCGGTTTGAATTGGCAGGTGTACGCCAACGACCCAATGACCCAGTTTCGATTTACCACACAATCCACACATATCGAGAAGGTCACTATTGTAATTGAGGTTATGTTGGTTAGTTCGGCTTCCGGCATTCACAATAAATACAGTAATTATTGGAGTTAAACGAAGTTTTATTTCGATGCCTAGTAGATAGGGACGAACACCACAGTCAGTATCTCATCAAGAAAAGAATCAATGATGTCATCTACCGTATAAGTAAGATCCCGAACGGTAAACCGAAGGTAGTGCACGAAAACCGGCTGGCGCCATTTGAGGGTGACCATGAAGAGGAAGAAGAAGTAAACCAACTTAAAGAAACACCTGACCTTATCTTTGAAGAATTTATGGGTGCATATGGAGGTACCGGAAAAGCAAGATATAGTGTTACAACCGAGCAACAACAAGACCTGCTTACGGTTCCTAAAGATTACTCGCTGATCCATAGCACTTCCGCCAACATCTACGACGTTCGAGGTCTGGCATCTGTATTCCGGAAGAAGTTTGGTGGATTGCCAGAACTTCAAAATCAGTTACTAGTCCCTGGAAAAGCATTGAAACTTCAAGATGGACCGCGTTATCTTTTCTATTTGGTAACAAACAACACCTTCCGAGATCGATCCACCTATCTTGATGTATGGGAAGCATTACTCAGTCTGAGGGAGCATATACTGGAGTCCAATGTACCGAAATTAGTTATGCCAAAGATAGAGAGCAACCAGCTGAATTGGAGGATCATTAGAAACATGGTGGAAGTAATCCTCCAAGATACCCAGGTTGAGATACTGGTCTGCATCCATTCTCCAAGCGTTCAGGTTATAACGAAGACTATCCCTTGTTACTTCCATGCAACAGGAAATTGTAAAAGAGGATCCAGTTGCAAATACAACCATTCAGTTTTAGTTCCAGGAGGAACTATTCTTAACAAGGGGGCAATGTCATAGGAATTCCTAAGCCGTCTCTGTCTAAGCAAGTGACCTTCAAATCTATGGCACCCGACTCATCTTGAAACGACAGAATCTTTTAGGTATGCCGCTGACGCTCGAGAAACGGCTAGAACGGGCGGAGCGTGCCGATGAGTCAGGGATGGAATTTTCGGAAGCGTCTAGAGACTTTTCGTAGCAGAGTTGGACTTGGTATAAATAGCCCGACTCATCAGCGGACAGTTTAGTTTAGTAAAAACTATTGGACTGAAAAGTTAAATTATAATAAATAAATTAGAATTGTGAGTTAGTGTCTAAGTATTATATAAATTAATTATTACGTCATAAATAAATTGTAAATAATGTGTTTTAAATAAATAAAATTAGACTATCGTTACAATATTTTCTTTCATAGTTTTATGTTCGTAAAAAAAGCACTGTTAAAATATTTTCTAAATCAGAATATGTAATCTCTCTTGTTGGTAGATTTTAGTTTTTATTTTTGAGTAGGTATTATTGTAAATGATAATATGATTATTGTATAACTTTGTACTATATTCTTGTATAATCTGGTGGACACTTTTTTGGGCTAGTCCTGTATGTGTCCCGAATAAAAAAAAAAAATAAAAAAAAAATTAAAAAAAAAATAAAAAAAAATGAAAAAAAAATTAGACAAAAATTAGCAATACCAATATAGTAAAATTTTGCTCGTTTTAGTAAAAGTTAGGAAAACTATTAGGAAATGATCTAAAAAAGAGTTTTACGTTAACTTTAAATAAAAAATTCCATTGGCTAAATCTGCCTTTAGTGGTCGATGGCCCTTACCTATTAAATATCTCTCTATCCAAAATACTGTTCACTAATACATTATCTGAAGGAATGAGTAAATCCAATTTACTTATAATAAACACCTTCAATTGCTTACCTACACGTGAATGCAATAAATAATTTTGATCTAAAGAAGTTACACAGTAATCCGACGTTATAAAAAATTATCTTTACATTTTAAAAGTATTAATCTGACTCTTGAACCTGTTTAAGACTATATTAAAAGCATATTTAAGATTTTACGGGTTTTAATTGTTACTCTTATCAAATGCTTTTATTATTTTTATTTAACAATAATTAACAGAGCTAGAACAGTAAAATTTTATATGTATTGTATGTTATATTGCATTTTTATTCGTTTACTTATGTCTACTTTTGTTTCTAAAGGTCTTTAATTTATTAACCCACATTTCAGTTTATTATAGTTATTAATTATAGTTCGTAAGATATTTACTATTGTTTATAAAAAATAGTGTTAATTTAAAGCCTTATTCAAAGTAAGAGCAGCGCGCGTCGCGATGCGATAGCGTTATAACAGCAATATACATGTTAGAGGCTTTTTTTTGGGCTAGCCCTGTCTGTATCCCGAATAAAAAAAAATATTTTTCAATAGTGGATAATAATACCTAACTTAACCAGTATCTGTATTCACATATGAACGTATTACAAATTTGGGGCGTTATTTTAAATTTGCACAAGAGCGTCAAAAGTGCTAGGCGCGGACCTACGATAAAATCACCCTAAAAGAAAAACCTCCCTCGACTAAATCCGCCTGTAATTTAAGCTTTAGACCTAAAATATATCACTTACCTTGTAATTAACACTTTCAATTATTTTCCTACACGTGAATGTAATAATTTCGATTCGAAAGAAGTGGCAGAGTTTTTCAATATTATACAAAATTATCTTTAAATTTTAAAAGCGTTATCTTCACACCTAATAGGTTTTTTTAACCGGTTTCAGACCAAATGTATAAATAAGCTAATTGAGCATTTACAACAATGTATTTAAATGTGATTCTCATAATAAATTTAATTCAGTTTTTTCTTAATTAATTCCTATCGATATCTAATAATAACAAAAACCTTGTATAATGAATAATTATATTGTTTAACTGGGTATTGGCGTCGTGAGTGAAAGGAAATAATTATTAATAGATAAGAGTGAGTAAGTTGGAGAAAGAAAGCAGATTACAAAAATAAAGGGTCTAATTTCAAAGTGTATAGTGAAGATGAGAATTATTTTACGTTGTTTCTAAATTAGATTTCAGAATTAACATAATTTTAATTTTTGGATCATACACAACTTTTTATAAAGAATGACTTTTTTTTTCATAAAATTAAGAATGAAAAAGTTTCCTGTATGGTTCCGACTTAATTGGACACCAAACAATAACAATGCTTTGGAGAAGTACCTACTCAAACATTATCCAAAGCACAATAAATAATGCCTATAAGAAATCCTGTTCCCTGAGGCTGATCCAACACGATCAGACGACTACCGCATGGTGGTGTCACGAGTTGGATCACCTCAGGAAGATAGCTAGGAAATCCTTTAATAAGACAAGAACCACAAAACTCAAAGAGGACTGGGATACTTAAAATTCTCACCTCAGAGAATTCAAAAGAATCGTCAGACAAAAACAGAAAGATGCATGAAGATTTCCCGCAGGCAGTGAGGCTTCAAAAAGCTCTCTCAAAAGATCCATACCAACCTCGAAGATAACATCAAACTTCTGCTGTCAACACATTTCCCTGACGTAGTCATCACAGACGTGGCCGACTGGGCAGAAGAAGAATACAATCCATCTGTCTATGATTGCTAAACTGCCAAACACATTGTAGACGATGAAAAAATTAGATGGGCAATATACATCAACTCTCCATTTAAATCGCCAAGACCTGACGGTATCTATCCAGCCCTACTTCAGTGGGGTCTGGAAGAACTCACACCGCACCTGGTGGGTATATTCAGATCCTCGTTGGCTCTGAGGTATATCCCCAAAAAATGGAGAGAGGTAAAAGTGGTATTTATACCCAAACCTGGAAAGATGGATTACACTGTCCCAAAAACATACCGACCAATTAGTCTGACATCATTTTCCATGAAAACAAAGGTACATAAGAAATGCGGTGATTACAACAACACCATTACACCCAAACCAACATGCATACACCCCAGGCAAATCTACTGATTCAGCCCTTCATCTAGTTGCTAGCCGGATAGAAAGATCCTGGACAATAAGGAGTCCGCCTTGGATGTTTTCATAAACATAGAAGGTGCTTTTGATAAAACCACCTTCCCAAAGATAATACACTCACTAACCAATAAGAATGTTCCACAAATGGTCAGTGGTTGGATACATAACATGATAGATAGTTGATATCCAAATACAGTACCTTGAGGTACTCCATATTTATTTTGTTTTTCATCAGTTAATTCGTTCTTTATTTTTACTACTTATGAGTCCTTTGATTTAAATAACTTTCAAAAAATAAAAACGAGGTTCTCTAATTAAGATTAACAACATTATTGGAAAAGTCGATAACGAGTTGTCACGAAAACCGCTAAAAAATGCAAAATATTGACCAAACTTCATCCGCGAAACGATCAATCCATAGTTAGTAGTCATAGAGACACTTTTAACTATTAAAATATCGTTCTACATAATATTGTTCCGAGTGATTCGTCTTTTTCGAGGGCTGTGTGAAAACCTGAGAAAAAGGTAATGTATTAGTGACTTTTTTAATTCCACATTGTTCGTTCCGCCTCATTTTGAACGTATGATTGATATGAACGAGAATGCGTGCTGGTGCTTGTATCGCGTGAGGTATGTTGATGAATGAGAGGGACATAAAAACTTTACATATTCATCATTTTTTTGGCATTTTTGTTATTTTTGTCATCTGCGTCGTTTAGTTGTGAATTGATGATGAAATGCTACTGGCATGTCTTTTAAGGCTATAAAGCACTAGAGATTTTAGACATGCGGACTGTAGAAATGTTATTGATTTTAAAGTGTTGCTAAAGTTAGGTGCTAGAAGTTATATAACTACTTTTATTTCATACGTTTATAATTGAAGTTATAGTTTGTTACTTTCCACCTATTTTTTTCGTGTTATTACTTAGATTTTTATTAATACATTTACCCCTAACAACGCGCTCTTACATGCAGAACCCATCAAAATTTCTTCTAAAAGTAGAGAAAAAATTGGGGAGGAAAAGGATGATAATAACCAAAAATTTAGAAAGGTCAGAAAAAAAATTAATCGTGCGTTGTCTGAAAGCATTTTAGATGTTATCAGAGAAGTTGTTAGAGGTATATCTCAAGAAATATGCTCCAAATACGTTCTCCATGTTACCAAAACATACTATTTGGAATTTTTTTTCTAAATTTATTAATTAGTAATATAAATAAATGTCCTATTCAGTTTCCACTTGGCCCCACGTTGGGCGCCAAAATAAAAAGGTTTATGCGAGTTTAAGCAATATTCGATAGTTTAAATATAACTAGTCCGTTATTTATAATGCAGTTAGATTTGATATGAAACACGTGGTAGAAAAACAATAGTATCCAATAATTATATTACTGTTGATTGATTTAAGCCCTCTAACACATTATCTTAAGTCATAATAATAATAATTGTAACACGTCAATCATAATTCGACAATTTTTATTTATTTGAATCGTCTACTTGGATTGATACGTGCATGTTTGGAGGCAGATTCATTTTTATCATAAATGATTACATTCCATCTTCATCAATCAATATATTTGCATGTAATATGTAAATATATATAGTCTCGCGTTATCGATCTAACAAATTTAAAAAAATTCTGTACCATTTTATTATCATATCCGCAGACATATTACAAAAAGGCAATTGCATGCCAGGTAACATTACGGAGAAAATGGCGTAGTAGGTATATCAAATTTAAGCACAAAGTAAAAATTAAATCTGTTATTGTATAAGGTCGCAGTACAAACAAATATTCATTTAAATAAAAATAAAAAAGAAATTAAAGAAAAAATCATAGAAATGTGTCTAAATATTAAATAATAATTTATATAGTTCTTGTTATTTGCAGCTAACTGTATTGTTTGGTCAAAAATATTTTTTTTACAATTAAATATTAGTTTTATATACAATGGTTAGAGAATAGGGTATCTGGCTATACTGTTTTCTCAGAGTGCCCTGAAGTATAATAAACCATTGACCCTTTATACCTACTCTTGGCTAATCATTTAGTGTGTTATAGGTAACTTATAGTGTCGCATATGTGTAATTGCGTTAATTTGTGATATAGGTCGATACCTAGCTATCTTATTAATACCTACCTGTACTTTTATGATATTGGGACTTGATTTCAAGAACATCTTAAATATAAATTTATATTATTTTATATTAAATTTCAAATGTGACTTTTCAAACATTTATAAATTTATTAAAGTATACAAATATCCATAAAATCTTTTTTAAAGATAACGATAATGCTTCTAAATCCACTAGATAGCTTTACAGATGCTATAAATCAGTACTATTGTTTAATATATTATCATTAAAACATAGAAAATGCACCTAATAAAGTGCGCCTATTAAAACGATACAAACAAACACGTTGGCTGCCAACTACGAGTTAACATCAACTGGAAGCTTAAAATAATATATTTACATTTAAATAAAACGTTAAAATAAATTAACTGTAGCATTATTAGTAAAATAGTAACATTAATATTTTCCATAAAAACGTTTCCGTCTCTAGCAACATTTTCGAAGTTATATTTTTGTTTTAATAAACTAAAAGAATTCCTTATCATTAATAACAATTTTATAGATGAGAAATACGCGCACCCGGCGATATTGGCATTCCATTTTAAATATACAGTTCACTCATCCTGACTAGAAATTCTGGGAACTGTTCCTCCACGCGTTGGACTGCGAGGATAAACATTTAAATTGAATCTCGTCGATCAACACCGAGCCAGACTTAACGGCGTGGTGAAGATAAATAAAAAACAGGGTCGATTTTAGGCAATCTCATGTTAATAGGAGTTTTTAAAAAGAGAGAATCATTTCAAAAAACAAAATAGATCAGAGCTCATAGCTGGGCTTGTTTTACACAGTGACCTCTCTAGTTCTTTCAGCCCCATTCGTAGATTATACCAATTAAAAAATTCTACGGTCCATGCATGATATATTTACTTTTACAAATTTTCTAGAAATTTTCCTGGCTCTATCTATGTAATAAAGTAAAATGAAAAGTCAAGGTTCGTAATGTGTTTTCCCAGAATAATCGATACGGTCTAATATTCGAATTCTAATCAACTTTCTAATAATGAAAATTCAGATTGAATCCGTATTGCTATCACCTTCCCCACGCGAGCTGCTTTTCACAATAGTTGACGTCGCAAATGGCTTTCAGACACAAGGTAACTTGTTACAACTCCCATTTGGTATAAATTGGTTTTCTTTTGAAATGCTAATGAAAGAAAATTGAACAATTATGTTGAGATCGTTCATTATACGTTTTATAATCGTATTTTGTTCTAATTGGAGGCTTTTTAATGATTATTTTAAAACATGGAAAGAATAGCCTTTAATAACGTATTATTGTTGATCTGCTTTTTATTTTTAAAGACAGCATTGGTGTTCTTTATTTTTAGGAGACACTGTATAATATCTTTAACAACAATGTCTAAGTGGACAGTGCTGTTAACGACGTGCTATCGCCGTTGATATAGTTCCTTATAATTTTAGATGAGTGACATGCGCAGCAAGGCCAAATTGTGAGAGAGTACCCACACTCCTTTCTCCATAGTTACAGAATATGGCTCCCGATATAGCCAATGTATTTCCAATGGCATAAAAGGGTGTACAGGCTACTTGCATATCGGGGACAACACTAATCATTTGTAATTGCTGTGGAGGGAGGTATTTGTGTGAATGCGTCTTATTTATTTTCATTTACGCCGTGACTAGCAGTAGTACTTTATTAACCTTAGATGCAAATTTCACATATACCTAAACAAATAATAATAATGCCGTGACAATAAGTAGAGTGGCGGCTTCGCCGCCACCAGAAAATTTTAATCCATACCTGGTTACGCCGACCGGAATAAACACTAACGGCCTGAACACAGCTCATCTACTCTGTCAAAAGGAGACCGATGTACAAATAAAACGCGTACGCATGCGCACTACAAATGATTAGTGGTGTCCCCGATACGCGAATGTACAGGGTGGTCACGCTTACAGTGTATACCAATGGGTTATCCTGAACGGTAATAGATAGTGTTGGTTAAATTAGAGAAAAATTGCGCTATTTTATGCTCACTAAGAATCTGCTTTTAAATCAGAAATATCTACAAGGATTTCCAAAATATCGGGTAAAAACTAAATATTGTCATTTTAGAAAAGGTACGATATTGTTTACATCGTTTGAGCAAATTTAAAAAAAAAATGGAATTTTGTATTATTAGCTACGTCCAATCGACTGAAATGAAAAATTTCCTCTCCTTCTAGATTTTGAGCAACCATAGCAAACTTCGTTATTTCTTATGGCTGCTATATATGGGATTTTTATACAAGCTAACAAAATTTCTAATTCAACGATACCATACAAGCCATAAAACATTTCTGAAGAAAAGTGAGGTTAAGTCAAAATCTTATTTTTCAATCTTCAGTTTGGTTTTTCTTATGGATCATTAAATCGAGCAAAAAATAGCTATTTATAAAACCAGTTACTGAATGCCTTATTTTATGTAACGAGTAATTATTTGCGGAACGAGCAGGATTTTTAGGATTTATTGTCGCGGAAGGTTTATCATGGTGGCTGGAAAGCCCAAGATGAAGAATAACTAAGAGACAGCATGAGAGACATTCGAAGAAATGTGCGTCCGCAACTAGTTAGGGACATTTCCACCGCTAGTCGTTAAAAAATAAGCCAAGCTTAAAATGACATTTTTAATGGAAAAATGTCATTTTAAACCTGGTTTATTTAACTACTACTAATGGAAAATTGAGTCTTAGGCTATTGTTTCAATAAATTTGTTAATCCCATAAATATTTTGTGCCAAAACTTCTAGGACATATCCACCTACATTAAAACAGTTATATATAAAACAATATATTCCAATACCTTTTTCTATTAAAAGTATCATTAACCCTCCAACGGCAAGAAATATAGAATCGATAAAAATAAAAGTGAAAACTATAAATCGTTTTTTTTTTCAGCGGCACCGAATATGTCCAAACAATCTCCGTCGAGTCAGTTGCCAGATAAAGAGAAGAAATTGAGCATGCGCGGCGGAATTTATCTTCTGAAGGGTGTTACACTGTTTCTAGCGGCGTCAGGGAAAAATCCCAGAGCCGCCGCCGATCAGCCTAGTGCCAGTTCCGGCAAAACCAAGGGGCGCAAAAGGATGAACGACAAGGATGCCTGCAAGTGTTCGCCGAAGATTATGGAGGCGGCTAGGAGGGACACTCTGTTTAGCAGGTGATTTAGAACATTTATTTAACCGCTTTTTATTTTAGAAATTAAAAATATCGTTTTTTGGAGTACTCCCACTTCCATATTTGTACATTTTTGAAATTTACGTGTACATTTTTAAAAACAAAAGTTGTTTTATGACTAACAGAGATGTTCATAGTTATCAAACAAGACAAGTTGATGAAGGTGTACGTGCCTTATGCAAGGTTGCACATTAGTTCCAACGCACCAAATTTTTGAGGTCCAAAATTGTTTAATAAACTCCCAATTGAAATAAAAAAAATATGCAAATATAAATATTTTTAAAAATAATTTGGAAATGTATCTCCTGGAAAAATATTTTTATTCCTTAGCTGATTTTTTTATATTTTTAGTATTTTAATCTGTTTAGAATTATAACGATTGTATTGTATTTAGTATTTTTAATTTTATTTTATTTATTTATTTAGATTTAAACTTGTTTTATTTACTGTTATCCTTTATTATTTTTTTCATCCCATACTTTTTTTCTTTTTAATTATATATATTGACAAATCTTATACAATTGTAATTATTGTCTTATGGAAAATAAAGAATTATTATTATCCAAAATCAAATTCAAATGCAACTGTGTTAGATTCGAGTTTAAAAAAGTAAATTTTCCTCATCTATACGCTTATTTATCTCAGACAGATTGGTCATTTTTAAATGAAATTTATGATATAAATGAAGCTCTGGAACAAGTGTGTTGTAGTTTAGTCAATTTTGGATTTATATGTTCCAAACATTTAAAATTTTGCTAGAAACTACCTGTCTAAAATAATTTGTATGCAATTTAAAAATATACGCAAATCAAAATAAAAATTGCATATTATGATTAATATTTACAAAAAGCGCAAGTTTCTATTTTACGGGTTACAATTGTACAAAATAAAAAAATCTATAGTTTATTTAAAAATGCATGATAACACAGTTTTTATGGCAAAAGTCTATATACAGGATTGTTCAAAGCAGAAAAAAAGTAACATTTCCTTAAATTTTAATAATAAATATACACACAACCAAATTTATATCAAATACTAAAAAAAAATATTTGCAAAAAAAATCTTTTCTCATAAAACACTCATATTTCGTTTTTAGAAATACAGGGTGATTCAATATAAATTTGTTTGTTTGTATTTCGGGTGCTAGCGTCATATAAACTTATTATAATTAATATACTTATACTCCGGAACAAAAGTTTTAAATACAAATTATAGATAGAGTCCAGATCCACATTTTAAAATTATTTTTTAATATACAGGATGTTTCATAAAGTCACAGCATACCAAAGTTATGTTTTTTTAGTGGAACACCCTATATGTTATCTCGAATTTGAATTTTGCTCATTTTCTCCATTTCGGCACTATAGGGTTTTATCAAGTTCTACAGGGTACTTTTAAAAAAATGGCCACTTTTATGTGAAACTCTTAATGAAATCGTCACCCTGTATTATTTAGAATCAACAATTGAAGGTTAATATCTCAAGGCCAGAATAATTTCGTAGTAGTCTAGTTTTGTTGCAACTCATCATGTTTTTGATATCTTTCATTTTGTATACATGGAAACCCAAAACTCTTGACCATGATTTTCTCGGTTATTTTAAATGGAAAACCCCGTATATCATTTTCATGAACTACTTAAAAATTACTTTTACTTTTGTTAAGTATTCCCTATACCTAAATGTTACAGTCGTAGAGTTTTTCAATTTTTAATAATAAAACGATATTTTTGGCAAATACTGAACGTTTCTTATAGTTGGCCATGACTGCCGTATTTGACAGAAGGTATTAAGTAATGTTATGTTTGTCAACTAATTGTCAATTATTATTTGAGTTTTGATTCGGTTTTTCTTGTTGCTTGTGTATACAATTGGAATTGGCGAATGATGAAGGAATATATAGGGTGTTCCACTAAAAAACATAACTTTGGTATGCTGTGACTTTACGAAATAATTTTAAAATGTGGAGCTGGACTCTATCTATAATTTGTATTTAAAATTTTGTTCATATCCCTCAAAACAACGAAGATATCAAACTCCGGAGTATAAGTTGATCACCCTGTATCTATAGGGAAGAGAGGAGTTGCTACCACTGACTATAATATTCACTAAATATAGGATGTAGCCGAGTAAATAGCGTTCCGAAAAATTGGACTTTTTAGCAAACAATATGGCGAACCGGATGTTTTAAATAACCTCCATTTTCATTTGTCGTTTAATTTTTGATTTTTACTTCATTATTACTATAAATTTTAATATATTTATAAGTAAAACCCGGAATCTTTCTTCAAAATAATAGTGTACAAAACAATACCTCACCTGGTATATTATTACGAAATTTTTGGTGTATATAGTTTGTAAATACATTAAAAAAAATAAGCAACGATGTTAATCCATTTTTTTTTTCTATATTAATTTATATATGTGCAAGTTAGGTAATGATACAGAGTGATTTGAAAAAAAAAATGTAAATTTGATGTACCTTTCACATCTTTTTAAAATACACTGGATAATAAAAATATTTATAGAATATTAGCTTTATTGACTTACATAATGCTGCTGTGCAAAAAATATAAAATGTGACGCAGAATTAAAATTAAAAGACTCACCTTTCGAAGCCGCATATTTCACCTGAAACAACGTACAAGAAAAAATATCAATAAATTACGTTGTAATAATTTAAATAATTTAATAAATCTAAATTTAAATCAAAATACTCACCATTTGAAATCGCTGATTTCTCATTTATTCTCTGTTCCATTTATTCCAAAATGTCTTACCACTTCTCCATAATATCCATTATTTCCCGATTCAAACGCGTCCGGACAAATCTTCTATTCCCGACGACATTAATGATCATCGTCATATTCAATTCTATATCAACCCTTCGATACGTCTAAATGTATCTCCGGGTAATATATCTGCAGCCTTGTCCATTTGAGCCTGGAAGGTACATCCGAAGACACTACATTGTAAATCAAAGATCTACATTGAATATCAAAGGACATACATTCTAAGATGAAACGTCTTTATTGTCAGAGGTGAAATGAACATGAGCTCAGACCATCGATATCGTGCTACCGTATAACTCGAGATATTTGCGGCGATTTAAATTTTTCTTTACGGATATTCGCTGAAAAGAAAAACATGAATTAATAGGAAATTTTGAAAATGTCGAAAGGGAAGGATATTTATTGGAGAAACCAAAAAAAAAACAGCTTTGTATAAAAGGATATATGAAAAGTTGTCCTTGTATCGGCCATCTTAAGTCTCTCCCTTTTGGGTAATATAAAAAGTAAAAATGTATGCTGAGAGACAACGATCTTACTCAAAACTTGATAAACTTAATAATTTAATAAGAATTTGATAAAGTAATTAAATTTTATATTTTCAAATTTCAAAATCTTACGAATTGTTCCCTGTACCGGACATCAACATGTTCTCAATATCGGATGGTATATTCTGGCTTACAAAACTGGTAAATAATTATAGACAAGTTTGTATTATTTATATTTATTCAAAAAAACAATTATTAACAGGTAGTTATAGAGTCGTATTTCGATCTCCCAAAGAGTTTTTGGTATAGTTATGGAGTGAAAAGAGTAAAAGAAGTCCACCTCTCGAACTCAACGAAAGTTAACTATGAACGTCAAATACAGTCTGTTCGCTATACTTAAGCGAGTTTCGGATTAACAAAATTATGCAAATTAGTGATTGACAACCAGTTCCAATAAGCCTCTTCCCAAGAAATTAGGTAAAATTGCCCTAATGGTCAGATTTAAATTAAAATAACATTAGGGTAGGTACTAAATTTGTTACAAATATTGCAGTTGAATTGATTCTTTGCAAGTGTTGACATTGTATGTATATTGTAAATTTAGTGGAAATTTTAAAAATGCCTAGACGTGTGTTAGATGTAGATAGTCTAATTTGTAGTGTACATAAGTATTTTACGGATGAAAATGGCGGTCCTTTAAAATTGGTAATGTCTGTACAACAACGCGTATGCGATACTCTAGGAATTAGTAAAACCAAATTAAGAGGAGTATTACAAAATCACAATAGTGAACTGCCGAAAGAAGATCACCACAAAACTCGCCCATCATTGAAAACGAAAGATATTCCAGATGGAAAGAAATTTAAAATTCGTGATACCATTTATCGAATGAGGGCCAACAAGGAACATGTGACCTTAAATACAATTCTCTCGGAATTAATAGATAGAAAATTTGACGACATTGGCAGAACAAGTCTATGGCAAGTGATACATAACTTAACTTTCTAAGAAAATATTCTAAATTTAAAGAAGAATTTTATATATTTAGAAAAAACATGTATTTTTTCTAGGGGTGCAACCAAGAGAATATGGCAAGATGATAACGTAAAGTCCATCAAACATACCCATGGAGAAGGAAAACGACACATAATTTTACATGCAGAAGGGAAATCGGGTTTTATAGAAGGTGCTGATTTAATATTTTCATCTAAATCAAAATCTAGTGGCTATCACGATAATGTGAACACAGAAATATTTGTAAAATGGTTTAAGTGAGCCCAGCGTAATTATTTTAGACAATGCATCTTACCATTCTGAAGTATTAAACAAAAGTCCAACGAATTCTTGTACTGTTGATAAAATTAAAGAATGGTTGACAAAGGAACATATACCATTTCCTCAATATATATTAAAATCAGAATTATTACGCTTGGCAAATATACACGCAAAACCAAAAACCTTTGTTGTGAATCAGAATATTGAAAGTTACGGTCATCAAGTTTTACGTCTGTCACCGTATCATTGCCAGTTTAATCCCATCGAATATATATGGGGAATAGCAAAACAATATTATGACAACCACATTGGACCTAATGGTTATAGTGACGACGTAGTTCAGGAAACTTGGCGAAAAGCACTTTCAATTGCAACTCCAGAAGTGTGGCGGAACTGTATATCCAAGTGCGAGAAACTAATAGAAGATTGGTGGACTCGTGAAAATAAAATAAACTAAATAAGTCCAATCATAATAACAATTAATGGTGATGACAGTGATGATGATGACGATTATGATATTTTGGATGATAATGACTGATTTTCATTTTTGTTGGCAAATACAATTTTTTTATTTTTCATTTGAAATTCTCTACATGGAACAAATTTTTATATTAGAAAATATTTTATTTGAGCTAAATAACCCTCTTATTATACATAGACCATATTTTCTGTGTGAAGTGTAATATAAAATTATTATTAGGTTTATAATAGCCACATTAGACTCCATTAATGAAGAAGTTTAATTCTGCTCTCAATTATACAAAAGACTCTCCATTATTATTTAATTAAAAAGTTGTACATTATTTTTCATTTCATTTAACCAGTTGATATTTCCCCCAAAGAACAGGTCAAACTTTCGGGTACTTACCTGGAAATACTCATAAAAATTTTAATCCGAAACCCGCGTAAGTATAGCGAACAGACTGTACATCATCTGTAACGTCACATATTATGTCAGCTGTTACTTCATATGTCACATCATCTGTTTCGTTATCATATTTAAATTATCAAAAAATAAAGGTACTTTGTTTAATTAACTATGATCCACTTTTGCTTTTTTTTTGATGTACAGGGTTAAAATATTCAGAGACATGCAAAATTGTTAGTTTTAACTTATTTCTAGAAAAAGAAAGTAATTTTCTTAAAAAACAAGTTGTAATATTAGTTACTTTATTTAAAATAATTATAAAAAGTCTACTGTTTTATATTTTTGTGCCGAAAACTAATCGAAGTGCCCCTGGAATTACTGAATCATTTCATTAAGTTTTCAACAAAATTGAAAATTTTATAAAAACTGGTAAAAGTCTTTTATAGGGATTAAAAATAACTTACTTTTTTAACACTATGTGCATCAAATAGGAAAAATGGATCATTATCGCAGACTCTACCTTTATTTTTCGAAATGCTGAGAATATCAACTGGACCACCCTGTATTTAAAAATACCCCGTATGCCCTGGAAGTCACAATTACATCGAACCAATTTAAAGTGGCCATTAAAAATAATCATAAATGAAAAAAAATGCTAACTTTATTCAAAATAATTATGAAAAATTCAAAAAGTCTACTGTGTTATATTTTTTGTGCCGAAAACTAATCAAAGTGGCCCCTTCAGCACGCCTCTGGAATTACTGGATCAACTGTGTAACATTTTCGAAAGACATTTTATTAAGATTTCAAAAAAATGGACCATAATCCAGACTCTACCTTTATTTTTCGATAAACTATAGCCCGGTAAAATCCTGAGAATATAAACTGGACCACCCTGTATTTAAAAATACCCCGTATGCCCTGGAAGTCACAATTACATCGAATCATTTTAAAGTGGCCTTTTAAAATAATCATAAATGAAAAAAAACTCGCCTATTTAAATATCAAAATGTAATTTATTTTACTTATATTCCCGTTTTATGCTACGCCCATGCCTGCATTTTGTCTATACTACGTCAAGCATGCGCCGATGATATTTTCATATTTTACAATTATTTCAAGTTCAATCTTGTCGGCGATATGCAATTTTATTGACATAGGTATTAAAATATAATGGTTAATTATTGAATATCTGCCCCGAACATTGTAACCAACAATATTTTATAAACTGTTCTAAGCATGGAATAAGCTTTTAGCAACAATATATAAAAAAGTTACGCAAAGTTTTAACCAGAACAAAATTTTAACAACTAAGAGCTGTTTAAACTCGTAAAATCATTAGTACAAATTGTAATTTTTGTTTAAATAGCACTCTCTGGCTCTTAATATGCTAAAATAGTATAAAACCCGGAGCAAAAATGTTGTTATTCGTTAATTCAAAATAGGTACCTAAGTAAATGAATTTTGACAAAAACTTTTTTTTTTCAAACAAATTAAAATGTATGTATTAGATAACAAAAAAGGCAAGAATATTTTCTCATCAAGCATTAACAAGAAACTAAAAGTAGTTTTATCACACAGCAAAAAATTTAGCATGTTTCTGTTGGTGTAGGTACACATAACATTAGCCAAAGCGTCAGTGTGCAGAAATTTAAAACTTCGGTAAATGTTGAGAGATTTTCGATTTTCAAATAGTATCTTACCTGATAATAATTGTATTCTTCACTTTTCTTACACAAAAAAACATAAATCACAATGTTCTTTTACTTCTACACTCATCAGCCGCCATTTTATAATAATTTCACGTAATTTTCTCATAAGAAAACCACAGCCTTCTTGATTATTTTTGCTCTGCCTGAATTTTAGGCATCTGCAAAATACGTCAGGATTCTACTTTTTTATCGAAAAGCAAAAGTAGTTTTTTCGATAAAGAATGGCTCATTTTGGTTTTCTTTTTGAGAAACAGGGTGTTGAAAATTTTTCTTTAATGCTTTTTATTAATACCTATAGGTACTACGATTTCAAAAAAATAGTGGGAAAATTTCACGAATGTGTAATGGAATGCTGACAGCTGACATCTGTCATTCATTTTTCGGAGCTTACACAATTTTTCCAGTGGCGGGCAATTTTAATATTCTATAGGTATTCGACAAATATATGCATTTTAATTTGATATAAAAATTGTTTTAAAATTTTTCAATTGAAATGAGGTTAGTAATTAATAGTACATTTCAACACCACATCTAATGTATTACCGTGACACGTTACCATTTATTTAAGCGTTGGTTCTACAGTAACCCTGTATGTCCCTATTATGAAATAAATAAAGGGTGGTTCATAAATAATAGCCCATAGCGTACTGTGATTATTGCCTCTACAGACCAGGAGGGCTCCGTCCCGCGTTCATAGATGGAGACACCGATAATCTCTACATACGTTTAAATGCCGTTACCTTTCCAAAACAAAATGTTTGTCGGGCTTTAATCTACATTTAAAATATAATTATTTTATGCCTTTCGATGATTCAGAGGTAAGTAACTAATTATTACCCTGGTACAACGTGTAATTTAATCAATCTATTTGTTGGTGAGAACTTGCAATTATTACGTCGTTAAAAGTTAACTGCAAACGTTTAACGTTCTACGGTTAATATTCTGCGAACATGAAAGCCAAACTAGATAGCAATTCAGAAGAATCTATTTTAGAATTAATTTGCACAGAAATTCGCATTAACATGCACTCTACGTTCTACGTGTTGAAATATTTCGGATAATATCTATCATATTAATATTGACTTCAAATGTATGCAAAGCCTACAGCTGCACACAGGCTCTCTCGAATACGCTTTATTAGTGTGATGTAATTTGTGTTCTACTGACAGTTAACCTTCATCAAAATTAAATCATTCTATCATCGAATTTGACGTATATACTGTTTTCGTTTTTGTTCAATATTATTTATAGGTCATAAAAAACTAGTTTAAGTATATAACCAATGTTTAAATGAATACAATCTTTAAAGAATAAAAATAAAATCATAGTAAAATACATATAACCTCTAGTTTTATGAGCCTATTGTCACTGTAATTCTTAGTCGAACGCAAATTACGTCATCACTAATATAACGTATAATATGTGTACCTACCTTATTCCTAACCTCATTTTAAAAACTTTAAATTAGAGTTCATCTTTGTTGTTGTCTATAACAGAACAAAATATGAAAGAGACATTAGAAATTGTCATTTTAGGTGATTTAGTTGATTATGATGATATTAAATATTTAATATTAGAAAACTTCGAACTGATACGAATGTCAGCGAGCGCACCCGAAACCTCATAAAGTCGCCACTATTTGGTACAGTTAAACATGCACAATTACGGCAAGACAATATCTTTAATAAAGTCAAACTTAAAATCTAAACAATCTGCGCATTCTCAGATATCAAAATAAGAGCGGCTCTAATAACTCTCTATTATTGCAGGAAAGAAATTGAAGCTCTCTACAGAATTTACAAGAAACTAATAACGTTTAATAAAACGACACCTCAAGGAGATGTGAATCCAACTACAACGTCTGCCACTGTAATTGGTAAACCACCGACAGTATCTGAGGTACGTGTTATCATTTTCTTTGACGAAAATATTGGTGTTGTCTGAGCATCAGTCTTAATTTTTTACAACTTGAATTTGAAAATTTAACATTTTCATTTGACGTTTAAAGTTAAAAGAAATGCCGGTTGACAGTTTTTTTTTAGGATAATACTTACAACTCTTGGTGTATAATTTATTCCATTACAAGATAATATTATTTCAGAAAACTCTATTTTAGGGCATCGATAGAACAGTCTTTAGAGAAGTATTGCATAACACATTCGATATTATGACAGAAACCATTGTCATGGATAGAATATTTTGCGTTTGGGACAAACACAACTGTGGCTTGATAACAATTGAAAATTGGTTAAAGGGTTTATCTCTATTTTTGAAGGGCAACATACAAGATCAAATTTTGTACTGTTTCGCTGTCTACGATTTAAATGCTGATGGATTTCTAACGAAAGATGAGATGTTCCAACTGTTGAGGTAAAATAATTATACAGTAACAACAAGTAACAATCCTCTGACTTTAGATGCAAAATTAATTGTGTCGTAGATAATCTGATTTATAAAAAAATGTTGTTTTCAGAAACTGTCTTATAAAACATCCTCAAGAAGAAGACCCTGATGAGAGCGTTAAGGATCTAGTAGACATAGTAATTCGAAAAATTGACAAAGATAAAGATGGAAAAGTTTCTTTGGAAGATTATCAAAAGACTGTCGAAGAAGAACCTCTGTTGTTAGAAGCATTCGGAAAATGCCTGCCATCAGAAGAATCTAAAATGACTTTCTTGACTACACTTAAAGCTTAAAAATATGTATTATAGGTTCTGTTTCGTTATGTAAAAATATGTAACCTACTCATGGAAATGTAGACACTTCCATAAGTAGAAATGTTCTTTACCCAAGGTGGTGACTGTGATGACAGCCCACGAAACCAGCTGACGATATTTGCACGTCATTATTTGGTCATCACTGACGTTAGGATTACTTCCAAAATGACGTAATTATGACTGCCGTCATTCTGGGCATACACAGAACGATGTCTGTTGCTGACTACACTTTCCTTATAATCAATCATCAACATGTATTCTTGACAGAATAAGAGAATACATATTGATGATTGGTTAAAAAATGTGTAGCCCAGCGACAGACATCGTTCTATGTATGCCGCGATAGATGAATTACGTATTTAGATACGATCCTATATTTGTTTATTTATCTGTCTTAAATAAAGTTGTTTTATTGTTTTTAATAAGTTTTTTACTAACCCAATCTAATTTTATTCTTCTTTTGCCCCATAGAAAAGAAGTCGTAACAATGCCGATGAAAACATAATAATTGGCAATATTGGGCTCTTTATATTTTAATTTATTCTTCATATATTTTTACCAATGATTGCCGCGTTTGAAAATCCACATCCGATGCATTTTTTACATCTCGAGCGTTTTTTTATCTACATCGGACACATCTACTACATCTGCGTTTGTTTATCCCAGATGTACCTGTTCAGATTACATTTTTTACATCTCGATTTGAAATGAGATATGAATGAGATGTTCGTTCCATGCCAGAAAGTAAGTGTTCTGTGAAGCCAAGTTTTTTCAATTTATTCTTTGTTTATGAATATAAAACTGATTTTTCTGTTTAGATTTCAAATTTAGGTTGATTTGTAGTCTCAAAAGTCAAATTTAAAAAGTATAAACTTCTAACTTGTCATTGACATTTTATCACGTGACCAATAAAGTCTAGAGCGTTTGTTTATTACATTTACATTCAGATCTAATTCTCTCACGTGATAAAAAATTCACAACATCTCAGATGAATCCGATGTGGATTCTCAAACGCGGAAGATATAAGAATAAAAAATCGTGATTCAGCCTTTTCAAATGCTACCAAAAATGTTCGTTCAATTTGAGTTTTACAATTTTAGTCTATAAAAAAATATACAGAATGGCTTTTTGAATTCCTTATGTATATTGAATATTGTTTCTTTAGATGAAGACCTATTGAACTTGTATATATAGGTTATCAACATTAAATTTCTATAAAATGTTATAAATGAACCCACGAAGTATAGATATAAGGAATCCGAACGTAATGTTGAATGAATGGCATCAATTTGGGGGACAGACTTTTTGCCGGTAGGGCCCGCCACTTTTGAAGAAGTACTCGTTTAATTAATTATTATTTGAAAATTAAACAAATTTATTAATAAAGCATTTGTTAAAAGCACATTTTTAATACTTTCGGTGCTTTGAATAAAGCCACTTTTCCTAAATTCTCATTTGCCTTTCGGTACGTCCTGAATATTTGCGTAGCGTGGCAGAAAAAAGAACTAAGATCTGTGTTTAATATTTGTGTACATGAATCCTACAAGAGCCTATACCGTTCGGACTCCTTATATCTATACTTCGTGAATGAACCCTTCCGAAACGGTACGTCATTGTGTGTCGTACTCGACTCCACAGGTCAACTGCCTTGTCAGCTGTAAATCTTGTGCCAACATTTAAATGTCACTGTCAACTGTCATGTTATGTGAATGTTATGGCATGGCAGTGTCAAAACGTTTAAATTCAAAATATTTTCATTGCAATTCATGTTTAAATAATACAAATTAGTTGTCCTCATTAGATAAATGCAAGATATTTTGTGATAATTCATAATGTCCAATCTAATACCTACAAATTCGACTTATTAGATGTTAAAAATTTTGTGAATTTGAAGTTAAAGTTGAAACTATCTGAAAATGTGGCAATCCAAATTGCGACCGCTTGCGAAATACTCCTTAATTGGTGCCTTGATCGGTGGCACTGCACTAAGTCTAAAAACCAATCAGTATGAATTAAATTCGATTGGAATTGTGAGATTGAGTAGGGCAGCATTCACCGTATTCCAAGTAGGTATCATCTATAAACGAGACCTTTACGGCAGAAATTTAGACACGAATTCTCAGGAATATAAAGATCTCAAATCGATATGCCATACAAAAGGCGCTGAAAAACTGTTGGACTTGTGTTGCACGAACAAGGGAGTTTACATTAAAGTGGGTCAACATCTCGCAGCTTTAGAGTATTTACTACCAACGGAGTATGTAGAAACTATGAGGATTCTTCATTCTCATGCACCCGTCAACAAAATCGAAGAAGTTTATAAAGTTATTAGAGAGGATTTCAAAAAAGATGTAAGTATAGACATTAAATATTCCAAATATGTCACTACTACTAATTTTTTATTACTAAACGGTTTTTAAACACACGAGATGCATAAAATTGTCAGTAGTTTGTTTAATAATAATATTTTAATACAATTTTATGAATGCAGCAGTGTAGTGAATGCTAAAATATCATAAAATGCAATATAATTTGACATAAAGTCTGGAGCATAGTTTAAAAGGTAATAAACAGTGATGTCAAGTTGACATTTTGTAGAACTGTAGGTTGTTGAAAGAAAAACATTAACTCAACAGTAGATTTATTAAATAACTAATAATCAATGTTTTGTTGTAAAAAAATGCCATTATTGATTATTTCTATGTAATTTTGATGTGTTGTAGTAGTCCATTACATTGTATTGCTTTTACATAATTTGTTGTTGATGTATATTTGTATTTACAATTACAGCCCTTTGAAATATTTGAAAGTATTGATCCAGATCCACTTGGAACAGCATCTTTAGCACAAGTACATAAAGCTACTCTAAAAGATGGATCCACAGTTGCAGTCAAAGTACAACATCCCTATGTACAAGGAAATTCTAGAGTCGACATGAAAACCATGGAATATTTAGTAAAAATAATGAGTATCGTGTTTCCGGAATTTAAATTTCAATGGTTAGTAGATGAATCAAAGAAAAATATACCGAGAGAGTTGGACTTCTCTGAAGAAGGGCATAACGCCGAGAAAGTTGCTGAATTGTTTAAAGATGCATCATGGTTGAAAGTACCTACAATTAGGCAAGTATCTTTCATTAAACTGCTTTTAAACTCATAAATTGTAACCCCCATTTACAAAAAGGAAGCAATTATAAATCAGTTTCCTTAATTAAGTCTAGAAAAATATTTAGACAAGTAATACAAAAGAAAGTCTGTAAAGCTTCATCACAGTACAGTTTTTAACAGGGAATATTGACAATGTCCTAGAAAAATCTAGGCCTTTAATAAGCACTAAACAGATTACAAGACTTAGGAATTAGGGGTGTTTCACAAGACCTATTTAGAAATTATTTAATGAATAGATACAAAAAGTGAAAATAAAAAAAAATCATATGGAGTGCCTCAGGGGGCGGTCTTGTGGCCCATATTTTTCAATATATACCTAAATACAAATTGTATGTTTGAAATAAATAGTAAAATCGTTAGTTCTGTGGGCTATTGCTGATCTTCAGCTCCACCATAGAGTTAACCAATATACGCACCATTTTGGTTTTTCGCGATTATTTCAAAAACCAAAAACAATTGATAAAATGTAATAACAGTTCTGAAAAGGTAATAGAATCCTGAGAAACATTGTCTAATAAACCTATTGTGTAGCTTTTAAAATAACCAAGATAACATGCAACATAAATCTAGGACACAAATCATATAAAATATATTTAGATTGAGAGTTAGAGTTAATTTTTATTTTAGATGGGATTTAACATCTAAAAGGGTGTTGACGATGGAATTCGTGGAAGGGGGCCAAGTAAACGATTTAGATTATATTAAAAAACACAAAATAAATCCGTATGAAGTATCTGATAAATTAGGAAAATTGTATTCTAAAATGATTTTCATTCACGGATTCGTTCACAGCGATCCACATCCTGGAAATATACTAGTGAGAAAGACAGATAGAGGCGATTGTGATATAGTTCTATTAGACCACGGTTTGTATGCTGTAAGTTCTGATATCTACAAATTGATATTTTGGTTATTCACAAATTTTAAATATAAAAAAATTGATTTTAATTTGATTCAAAGTTACCCTAATTTTACAGACTTTAAAAGACGATTTGCGTGTAGAATACGCCAATTTGTGGTTAAGCATTTTAAATAGAGACACGAAAGGAATGAGATTGCATAGTAAAAATTTGGGGATAGACGGAAAAGCTTTTGGATTGTTTACTTGTATGGTTACAGGCCGGACGTGGAACAGCATCGTTAAGGGAGTCGACAAGTAAGTATATTCTTTGTTTTTTACGTATTTCAACTTAGGAATCACATATTTCAATATTTGCTACGGATATCATGATGTCAGCGTGACGTCATTTTTTCTGTGTCAATGCTGTCAGTTGTCAAAACTTTAAAGTTGTATAGATTTGCACTTTGTTTATCAATATTTTTTTATTTGGGCCCCACGTTGGGCGCCAATTATTGTAACAAACTTTAAATCACCTTCTAATATTTTTATGTGTTACCCAGTTTCAATTTTAAAATGCTTTAATATGAAAAAAATGGTTGTAGAGAAAAAATGACAACCAAAGAAGCAGCGTTCATGAAGCAAAGCTTCACCGGCATCCTGCCGCAGATATCGGAAGTCCTGCAAAACGTCAATCCGCAAATCCTGCTCATACTGAAAACCAACGACCTGATGAGGGGTATAGAACACGCGTTGAAAACTGGTGAGAGAATGAGCGCGTTCAGAGTTATGTCGGAGTGTTGCGTCAAATCCGTCTACAACATGCGGTACACGCAAAGCGAAAAGAAGATCGACAGAATCAGAATATCTCTGGCTGAATTTTGGGCCTTGTTTAAGATAAATCTGTATTACGCTTATCTTAATTTGAAAAGTAAATCACTCTACATATTTTCTTGACTGGTTTCAATTGGGGTTTTTGACATGTTTTCGCGTGACATAGTGGAGGTTTTTGCTGTCATGATTTGTCAAAGCGATGTAAATCAGCCTTGTGAACGGTAATATTTGAAAAATATGCAGCTCCGTAAAAAAAAGTACAAATATTTATTAACAAACTCTTATATTTATATATTTTTGTGTTGATATCTTTTTAGGCTTTTATGTTTAGAGAATAATATGAAAATGTCACTGCGACAAAAGTCATAACAGCAAAAGTTTGCATGCTTTATTAGTTTCAGAATTGACAAAATTGCCATAGGAGGATTTGAATAATGAGGTTGGAGTGTTAATTACAAAAATAAAGACGATGATACTATTACTAGTCAATTAATGAAAAATTATAAAATAAAGGGTTTTTTATAAATTTGGTTAGTTTTGTGAAGTATCAGAGTATCACTGCCTCTTACATTGCGTTCGGTCTGCCAAGCTCCTTTGATTCCTTTAACACTTAACTCCAAACGACCCTTTCGGTTCAGTCCGATTAGTGACAGTTCAACACGATTAAATGTTATTTAAAAGCACCCTAAAAAACTGCTCTCCTGTCACGTTCCAGCCCTTGGCCAAACCGAGCGTTACTGTTGTAACTAGTTCTCCGATTCCAGATGACATCTGACATGTGTCACTTGTCTTCTCATTATTATAAATTATTTCCCAAAATATATTTTTACGAAAAATTACCACTAATTTCCATTTTAGGTAATATTAATCAAATTAAATAGTTTTAATCTCCTATAAACTGTAATTACAAGGATTTTTTAGTACAATCAATTAAACTCTGTTACCATGACAATGAAAGATATGTTATAATAAAAAAAAACACTAGATAATTTGGTGCAAATCGTCCAAATGGAGTGATTTTAGTCAATATACCTACTCTGCGTATTTTTCGTTATTTTTTATATTTAAAATGAATATACACAAATGTACAGCTATTAGGTGCTAAAAAATATTTATAGAAATTATTTTTATGATTAGAATTTAATTGGCCAAGTGAAATTTATTTTTTTACATTAATTATGAAAATATAAGTTAGATATTTAAATTATATTATTTTATTTTTGAAATAAAAAGGTATTTTTATTAACTTTGTTTTATTATTAATCACAGATTTTTTCAAAATATATTGGCAGGTCGATTAAATCATTTATACTATGCTCAAAATTAACATTACAAATTGTTTATTGCAATAATAATTTTGGTTGCAATCCTCGTAATGTACTAACGACTACACTAGTTGAAGGCCGTTACGTAAAGGCTTGAGCGTAGAAATTTACAGCAAAAGACCAAAACGTTATCACATGGACGGCGACGGATTTTTTGACCGTGGTATCAACATCGAAATGGCGGTCTCAGAATTGGAAGTCAAGTTTGTATGTTTCCGATAAAATCGGTCATCGAGAAATGAATATTGTCTGATGTGTTTAGTATTTGTGCGTCAAAATTTTTTGAATTTGTATGTAAATGATATATAGTGAATATAGCTATTAAATTAATATGATAAAGAACACGTTCTCAAGTTTATGGTCCAATTAGTTAGAATATCAGCTCCTGATGATTTTAAATTAGTATAATCAATGGAAAAGAGTAAACATGGATTTTTCAATGGGAAGATGGAAAATTCCAGACGTTCTTTAATGAATATTCACGTAATATAAGCTAAATTACCTGCCTGGCTAAATACCTTAAGGGTGAAGGCCAAAAAACTAACAGAGGAAGAAGATAGAAACGTCCGACAGAAAGAGGCCAAATATTTAAAATTTGAGAAGAAATTTATAGGTTAAATTTAAGTGACTTTTAAGTCAATAAAATAAAATTTAAAAATGTTTCAAAAACAAATAGCAAGTTGCATTCTCCGAGTTATAAACAGATCAACTTTAAACCAAATACATAATAGTGCTAGACACAGGACTTTAAAAAATATCAGTTTAGCCAGACATTGGTCTTCCCAAATACAACCAAATCTTCCATCACAGAGCAACGATGAACAACCACAGTCAATACCATTAGGTAAAATTGATGGGAAATTGTTTCTCCATTATAAATGCAAAGTTTGCGATACCAAAAACAGCCATAGCATATCTAAATTGGCTTATAACAAAGGAGTAGTTATTGTTACATGCACGGGATGCAGCAATAATCATTTAATAGCTGATAACTTGAATTGGTTCACGGATTTGAACGGGAAACGAAACATTGAAGAGATTTTAGCCGAAAAGGGCGAAATTGTTCAAAAAATTGATGCTGAAAGTTGTATAGAGGCTATCAAAAGGGAAATTGATAAATGAGAATGTTAAATTTAAATTTGTTGATGTAATATATTTTTTACTATCTATACACTGTATATTTTTTTTATTCTAGATGAGCTATGTTGCTTGTAATATAGAGTATTTCACTATATTGTACAGCATTTTCAAAGTCTATCCAGCATCTGATAGTAAAACACTGTATTTGTCCAGCAAAATGCCATTATTGTCATGTAATTAATACATACTTTATTGAAATATAACAAACATACTGGGGAGCTAAAAACAGGTCCTCCATATGTCTTTGCTGTTTTGTATTTATCTACAAAATTCATCAGTTTGTATTCATGCTCAACATGCAGCATTGGGTCAAAAGAAATATGGTCACTATTGTATTAGCTTAAAACTGGGAATAAAATAAACTGCCTCATAAAGATTTGACAGTAGCAATTACAATTACACTGAGGTAGGCTAATATTTATAAATTAATGATAAATAAAACATATGCAGAAATTAAAACTTTATTAAAAATATAATTTCAAATACAATTTAAGTAACGCAGCAATTTTATTACTACCACACTAATTAATAACGAAAGCACGTTGTATTATTTTACCAAAAAATATTTTTGCATTTTGGCACAAGTGAATTTTTTTCCAATAAAATACTTAAGCTTTAAAAGGCAATGAACAAAGTGAGTCCCTAATCAGTCCATAGAAAACATGTTTTTCCTACAAATAAAAAAATGATGAATCAGTCGAACTTTTTACTAAAGGAAAGGATATTTGTGATACTAAATCTTTTGCAAGAGATAAATAAAAGATGTACAATTAGATTAGAAATTAATTATATTTCATAAAGGTAGTTTTCTGACTATGAAGAATCAGTAAATCAGTTCTAAGGGGTACTAAAAAATCTGAGATACTAAACCAAAAATTAAATTTGTTAAAAAGTGGGTATCAGAGAAGAACTGAATGTTGAATTCTGGGATCCCTACTGAATCCTCGATATATTATGATGATCAGACAGTAAATCAGTTCCAAAGGGTAATAGAAAACATAGATATGAGAGAAGAACTGAATATTAAAGAGGGGAACCCCCAAAGAAAGTTTTTAAAATAAAAATAATTAAAAGATTCTACTTCACATTTTGTTATTACTTAATTTCAGCTCATGCAATTTTTAAGTTACTTTTGAATAGACATTTTTCTTGTGCATACTTAAATACTTTTTGACAATTACAAATATTGACATACTTAGAATATACACGCTATATGAGCATAATAAATGTGATACAAATAATATAAAAAAATAAGGCACCATATAATCAAATATATACATAAAAATTGTGATGGAGTACAAATATCACAGAGTTTGGTAAGTATTAAACAAAGTAAAATTTAAAAAAAATACTTGAATTAACTTGGTTGATAGAAGCTCGATGGTACTGCAATTTTTCTTATCGAAATTGTCAGTAAAATACTAAGTCTAATACAAAATTTGGCCTTCCTAATCAATATTATTAAAAATAAATGTATTTAGGATATATCTATTTAATAAAAATACTATATTCAGCTTGCCACAGCTGTTATTACTTTATTTAGCTTCTTTATTAGTTTTTTAATCCTTTTTACACTATTTTTTCATGATTCGGGAATACATTACCAAGCAGCATCTTTTTTTATTGTTCCAAGACACTTTGGTATACAAATTCGTGAATATTTGAACCAAACATTTGCTAAGGGCCTGTTCAAACGAAACACTCACATGTACGTACTTGGTGTCGCCATCTAGGTTAGACTTTGTGGATGGTATGGTACAAAATGACCCTTCTATTAAGCCATTAGTAAATATTGTTTATGGAAATGTGTAACAGAAATAAAAAGACAAAAAACCAAAATGTCTTAAATCTACCACGTAAAAGCACATATTGTGACTGCTTTCAATTATTGTAACTTTATAAAAATCTGCAGACGCGAATAACCCAGTACAATTTAATTGTTGGGCATTTTAAATCGGTTGGTACACGCCACGCGGGTATATTCGTATTATTTACCTACACGCCAGGCGGATATATTCGTCAGAAGCAGCTAAATAGTTAGTAATGGATACATAATGATTACCAGTTAAGATTTTTAATTAGTGACGCTTTGGCAAGTTAAACGAAAGTAATTTCTTTGAAACATATAAATAGATTCTAAATACACCACTTTCAAGACCTTTATTTCTGTAATGCATATAATATTACCATTTTGGAGATTATGGTCCATTTACGCGAGCAGGCCTCTCTTTAATATCATAAAATATTTATAATTACAAACAGTATCACGTAGCCTAACTCGCTGGATATTTTATTGACAAGTCTTAAGGTGTAAGTAATTGTAGATCTTAAGGTTTATTGTAACATATTTACTACTAATGAGTTATTGATAAAAATCATAATTGCTGTTGTGAAATTTATATATTTAGGATTGGTACTTTAGCCACTTATACACAACGACATCTTTATTTAAAATATGCCATAAAAGTTTATATTCGGAGAAGGTCAAGAACAACAACCGAAGTATGTAGACTGTCTAATAGAATATCTTGCTAACTATAGAGGATGTGACGTAACTAAAACCGTTCTGATAAGGAAAAATAACACCACTAAACCTCAAAAATGACGAGGCAAAGGAGACCCATAAACGCTTTTCCTATTATTTTATTTCTCTCTAATTAATACTATCGTGTTTCTGTACCGTCCAACTGGAGTCATGAAAGCAAAGTTAACGTACTGCATTGGAATATTAGTGAGAGACGTGACGCACGGTGAGGTAAATCTACACTAGTTTTTACACATATTACATTACTTATTCTATACCTCGCGGAACTCTGCGTGTTACCGCTGTACTCTCTTTTATTAGACAATGCGTAATTCAGTATTACCGTGGAAAAGTGTGAATGTATATTAGGAGACAAACAAATATACCAAAGTACTTCCGACTTTTATTTTACCCTTTTATGCGAACTAAAAGCTCTGAGGTTAGAAATGACACATTGGAAAGCCTACATAAACATAATGTTAAGCTTTTAGGCGCATAATCTAAATGTCCGGCTGTATAAAAGAATAGATGTTAAATAAACAGTATTCAAAATTAATCTGTTTACTTTGTTTTTCCTCCATTATAGCTACATTGAACTCTAAACGTAATTGTGGGGTTTATTAACATCACTGCATGGGGGTCTACTAGACAAAATTTAGGCCAAGGTTATAAGTATTTGCAAAACTAGGTTAGGGCCCGGTTTGTCAAGTTACATTACTTATACAGACAGCACGTTAAGGACACCATGGTTTTTATTTTTATATAATTTTTAATTAAATTGCTTTGTAAATGATTCTTCTGTTGGAACAATAAACGCTCGCTCTTTTTTTATTATTATTAAATGAACTACTTTTCTTTTTCGAGGAAATAAACTTCTGTTTACAATAAAAATATCAATTAAAAAATGTCATTTTGTAGAAGTGGCTAAAGTACAAACTCCAATTATGATTGTTCTCGATTACTCGTTATAATTAACAATAAAATCTTTATATTTAAAAAAAGTGATAATTTCATATCACAAAATTTAATAAAAAGGTGGCAAAAACTTCAATAGCATTCGAAGAGCACACAGGAAAGAGGATGAATGTAAAAAATATAATAAATTACCAGTAGAGTGTTTTTAACTGTAAATTATTTGCAAGTTTCAAGCGAGTTACAGTAGCGTAGCCAGAAAATTTATAAGGGGGTTTTGAAACTAATAAATAATACATAAACTCATTATTTTTTATGAGATTGTTTTTTTTTAATTATACTTTCTGATCGGATTGGCCCTCAACGCCCCCCGTGGCTACGCCCCTGGTGAGTTATGTTTAGCAAGTAACAAAAATGCAAATCAACCTCATTAAAACATCAAGCAATTTAATTTCGCTGCAGTTTCCTTTAACGAGTGATACTTTCAAATTACTCATGGATTCTTATGATTTTTGACGAATATGTGGTATTTTTAAATGAATGTTTTTATCCAACTACTTGTGATATTCTCTTTTATTTGATTACCAAAAGATGGAGCTGTTTGAATAAACATCAGTTTAACAAAAAATGGACTTTTATAGATTTTCCGGTGTACCCTTCATTTGCAATTTAAATAAATTTTTATTTTCCAAATATTATATTATTTAATTATGGCCACTGGTTACTAGAATCATGATAATATGGAATGTACATGTTTAAAGAAAAAACTAGTGTGATTACTCTCAATTCGTGATCCTAATTTATTTTATAAATAAATTTCGAATGATCACATAATTTTACTAGTTTCAAAAATAACGTATGGAATGTATATTTAAAAATGATATGATCTTTACATTATTTGGAGATCTCCTTAAAACTATAAATATATAATACACTTTTGAAAACGTATAAAAAAATTAATGAGCTCTAAGCCTCATTTTGTATATCAAATATTTAGTAAATGTATAAAAAAATAAGTAGAACAATTTAATTTTATAAAAATACTGAAAAAAAATACCTTTAGGTGAACATATAGGGTGTGGCATATATGTAAAATGTTTGTATGTTAATAATAAGTCTTTATAGTTAATTTAAACATACCAGTCCTAATTGTTAAAAACATGTAATACTTTCTAATTTTAAAAGTATGAAATTGGCAGATCGTATTGAATAACAGTCAATACTTCATTAGAATTAAATTAAAATACACTAATTTCTATAAACATAAAATATTTTATAAAAATATATGCATCTGGCACAAATTCTAGATTTTTAATTTAGAGAAAAACTTAATATTTGATTAGCATAAATGTCCGTCGAAACTGTCAAACAGACAGGGAATGTTGTATATTTTTATAGAAAACATCATTCTCTATGATCCAATATAAAGGGGTCTATTCTGTAATGAATCCTTTATATTTTAACAGCCGATCAAATATTGATGGTCTTGTCGATATTTAAAGGGATTCCTTTAAAAATTATTATTTTTAAATGGGTGTTAAAATGCACCTTTAATTTTTGACAAAGTAAAATGGCGTTTTATGATCTAATTAGAGGAGTTTTTATTGAAGAAATACTGGAAAATGAAGAAAAGTTTGAAGTACATAATACCTACCTACATTTAATATTTTAGGGCAGCATTTAGATTACACCGAACATCGAAGGTCAATTAGATACTCAAGCGACCCGTTTCAATTGCCAAATTTATATTTTAAAAACATTTTTAGATTTAATAAAGATGTAATTTTAATTTATAATTAGGACGTGGATATAGTCCTTTACGTGGGACCCGAAATTTACATCTGAAGTCCCACACGGGCGGAGTTTAATCACGTCACGCGTTTGCGCGGTCTTCACTCTTCTGTGTTCAGCAGTGATATTGTTGTTTTTGTTTTTTTCCTTATTTCCTGAAATTGTTTTTATAGATGGAACATACAAGTTGTTAAATATTCGCTGTCCTGTATATATAATGGCAGTTGAAAATTCCTTTGGGACAACAGCTATTGTAGGAATCGGCATTCTTACAAAAGAGGATAGTGAATCTATTGGCTGGTTTCTTAAAAAGTAAGTTTATGATTTTTAACCTAAAAGTGTTTAGTTAATTTTACCACTTATATGTTATAGATTGAAAGAAATAAATCCACAATGGAATAAAATTAAGGTTGTTATGACAGACAAAAGTGCTACCGAAAGAGATGTTGTTAGTACAGAACTTCCTGGTCCAAAACGCTAATATGCTTGTTCCGCGTATTACAAATGTTTCAAAGAGAGATAATACCAACAAAGCTAAACATAACAACTGAGCAATCAAAATGCCCCTTGCATTATTTAAATAAGCTCGCTCATTCGAAATCAGAAGCTTATTATAACGCTACGTTAAACGAAATGAAGGAAAATATACCACAAACAGTGGTAACATATTTTTCAAAAAACTGGGAACAAATTAAACATAAATGTGCAAAATGTTTTATAAAATATACCACAAACTTTTTCAACTTCATCAATAATAGGCTGGAAAGCTTAAATTCCAAACTGAAATCTGTAATTTCAACTTACAGCAACATCTATATTTATGGAGTTACTGACTACGGTGCCATGATAGCAAACCTCACAGCTGCAACTGCAGCAGAAACCTATTACACCAAAACACTCTCAAATAATACAGTAATAATAAATCCTACAAATCCAGACACCTACCGAAAACTGATTCATCACCTTAGAAATGAAAACATTGTGCAACACACCTACCAACCCAAAGAAGAGAGGGCTTATAGAATTGTCATAAGAGGATTACACCATTCAATACCAACCGAAGATATCTCGAACGAACTAAACAATAACGGTTTTAAAGTTCGCAATATAATTAGACACAGAGTTAGTAAAGAACCTCTACCACTATTCTTCGTAGATATAGAACCAGATGAAAACAAAAAAAGACATATTTAACCTAAAAGGCCTACGTTGGGTACTAATTAACAGTGCTCTTCCTAAAGTGGCGGTTGGAAACAGTAACAATGCCTACACAGAACACGAGGCTAATAACCGTAGCAGTTGATGCCGATGACACAAAAAAAACACTGTAAAATAACAGTAGAACCACCAAGAATAAAAAATACAAACTGCCAAAAACGAATCGTTTGAAACATATGTTACCAACCTATCTCTTGACGACCACTCCCTTTGGAAAGCCACAAAAAAAATTTAAGAAACCAACAGTAGCCAAATCTCCAATTAAAAAAATCGACGGAACATGGGCTCGGTCTGATCCAGAAAAATCCAATAGATTCGCAGAACATTTATCAACTGTTTTCTCCGCTCCACAACCTAACGATATCAATGACGATGAAATTAGGGCCTGTCAGTTGTCACTGCCACTGAAATACTTCTCAACGAGTGAAGTCGGCAATAATTCTCAATCAACACAAAGCTCCCGGATTTGACCTTATAACTGACGAAATCTTAAAAAATCTCCCAAAAAAGGTATCGTCCTAATAACTATCATTTTCAATAGCCTCCTTAGGCTATGCTATTTTCCAGTGCAATGGAAGCACAAATTATGGGGGTTATGATTGACAACCTGTGTTATTTTCAACAGGTCTGTTATTTTATAAACACACAGAAATAACAACCTGTTCACAAATAACGTGTCTGTTAAAAATAACATTACTTATCCATCATAACCCCTTATAATGATACCTAAACCTGGTAAATCTCCAACTGAAGCTACTTCGTACCGACCAATAAGTCCCCTTCCGACTTTATCAAAAGTCTTTGAAATGCTTATTCTCAACAGAATAGAAACAACAATACCTCTAGAAAATCTGATCCCAGATCACCAATTTGGTTTTCGCTCAAGTCACTCAACCATACAGTGCCACAGGATAGTCAACAGAATAAAAAAAAGCTTAGAAGAAAAACGAATCTGTATATCAGTATTCCTTAATATACAGCAAGCATTCGATAAAGTGTAGCATGAGGGTCTCCTCCTTAAAATCAAAACCCATCTACCTCCTCCAGAAATCATATTTGTTTGACAGATACTTCCAAGTTAAATATAAAGAAACTTTATCCAACTACCATCAACTAAAATTCGGAGTACCTCAAGGCATTGTACTCGGCCCGTTCTTGTACTTAATTTTCACTGATGACATACCCATCAGTGATCATACATTAATGGCAACATTTGCGGATGACACTGCTATACTAGCATCAGACACAGATGAAATAAGAGCATTCAACAAACTTAAAGTCAACACCAAGAAATCCTGTCAAGTTAATTTCACAAATCGAAGAATTAGATGTCCACAACTATATTTAAATAATACGCCTATACCAATAAATACAGAAGTAAAATACATTGGACTTCATTTAGACGAAAAACTTACTTGGAAATCGCATATTAAAGCTAAACGACAGCACCTCGACCTAAAAATTAAAAATATGAACTGCTTAATCAACAGAAGATCGAAACTTTCATTAGAAAACAAAATGGTCATCTATAAAGCAATAATCAAACCAGTCTGGACATTCGAAATCGAGCTGTGGGGCTGCAGCAAACCATCTAACACTAAAATACTACAGACGTTTCAGTCAAAGACTATTCGACTGTTAGCTAACGCCCCATGGTACGTTTGGCCAGAAGACCCAGCTAGGCGAATTCCAGAGAGTCATCAGTGGACTACACCTGCCTCGAGCTACCCACTTCCATCAAATTTACTTATTACTTTATTGAAGTAGATTGTAAATTAGCATTGAATAAAATAATAATGAAAAAATTTTACTAAGAAAAAAACCGTATTTGTTTTTTTTGCATAAATTTATCATAGAAAATTATTTCCCCGTATAGCTTTGCGGTTAAACAAAATGTTAAACCGCGTTTTTCTCGAAATCATGTTCTCTGGAGATACAGGGGTCTTTCTTAGGACGGTAGTATAGACCTTGATTTTGATTAAAAATTTCATGTTTCGTTACAGAGCTTAATATTTCCTGAATATTTCAAGTTGATATTTTTAACATTGTAATTTGTTTATAATTTTTTTTTTAATTTTAACCCCGCGTAAAACCCAATTTTTGATGTAATTTTCGGGTCCCACGTACGGGACTATATCCACGTCCATTTTATAATTAAAATGTTTGGTTATGTTATTAGCTTTTTTTTTATTTTCTTAAATGGACTACTCCCATGCGAAAATTAGTTCAAATGAATCGTTATCACTGATCAATGCGACGTTGTCAAGCGTTCCCTTGATATTTTAAAGGACTCATTAATAATTTTTAATTACCCTCTAAAAATTGTAGATTTTCAATTAAAAAAATTAACGGGTGGCTAAAAGTTACATTTTTAAACGATATTTTACAGAATAGACCCCAAAGTAAGCTATGTTATAAGAAACGAACTATTTTTTTTTGTTTGATAAAACTAATTTCTTTCGTTGCATTTTCGTTGGCACAATTTATCACTTGATATTATCCTTTTTTAACTCAATAGATGGCGCTCTGTATCAATTTCGATATCATATATAGGGTGTACTAATATTATAAAAAAGTTTGATACATTCCTTGTAAGAGATTAAAAAAATGTATAGGGTAGCTTAAGGGCCACATTTTAAAATTACATAGAGGTATATAGGGTGTTGCACGATTGAGTTACGAATCAAAAATATATTTGTTTTTAAAAACAGATCACCAGTTTATTATTTTAGATTTAGATTACTCCCATTTTTCTAATATATAGTTTGTCTAGGTTATACAGTGTGGAAACCACTTATAGAATAAAATTATTTTTAGAAAATTAAAAAATTTAGGTCTAGCAACACCCTGTATATTTCTATATAATTTTAAAATGTGACTTTTAAGCCATCCTATAAATTTTGTTAATACATTTTTTTTTAATATCTCTTTTCCACAACATTGATACACCCTGTATATATATAATGTGCCACATATATGAATGAGAATCTAGTAAACAGCTAGGTATACAGTTTCCTTTAAATGGGGTAAAAGTTGACTAGTAAGGCGCCCAATATTATGGTGTAAAAAAGCTTATATAGTGTGTTCCATAAAGTTGGATTCATATTATGTTTGGAACATTCAACTTAAAATAGCTCATATTAAAGTTGACTAGGTACTGGTACTGCATTATCTGTCAAATTTAGTATTTTTTGACATATCGTAAATATTTTGTTAAATGCGAATTTGAGAGAAAGCAAATGTCAGTAGCCAACTTTGATATGAGCTACGTTTTTTTGCCCTGCGTTTTCTTCCAGTCGTAATATTAAAAAAAATAATCCCATAATCCCACTGTATATCCAGGATCGTTTTCGAGTTATTTAGGAAAAACGGAAATCTTTGACTTTAGTGTTTCTATTTATCAATAAAATATCAAAAAATGTTACCGAGTTTTTTTGTTTCAATGGTACTCAAATTTGTAACACAACGTTTCGTTTTGGTGGAACCACCTTCAGATTAATTATTTTATGCTAATTTTTCACTGTATGAATTACATGGTTATATTCAGAGTAAGAAGAATACAAATTCCAGACCCGTATTCAAAATAATCGACTTTTCGGTATGTCAATAAATAAAAACAAAAAAAAATGAAAATCCAAAATTTCCATTATTCCTAAATAATTCAAAAACGGTCCTGGATTATGTGAGATCTTTTCACGTCATATTATCCCGCTCAATAGACAACTTTTACCCCATTCAACCAAATCTATGTAAATAACAATTATTTACGAGATCCTCATCTTTATGTACAACACATTTGTATATAGGGTAAGTCATAACTATTGGGACATAAATTAAGTGCCATTTTTTGGACTAAAATATGAAAATTGGGTAGAGTTTCTAATTTTGCGAACTTACTACCAATAAAATTCTTTTACAAAATGAAATCTGCAAAAAAAATACATGAGGCAATTTTTTTTCATCAAAACAAATCAAAAAAGGCGTAGAAGTAGGAAGATACAATCCAAAACATTGAGTTTGTTATTTTATTATTCGGAGTTACAATTTTGTCTACTTTTATTACAGCATATTTGATCCCATCCTCACAATTACCCTGTATCCCAATAGTTATGACTCACCCTATATATCACGATAAAAAGCGACCTATATAAAAAAAGTACAAAAAGCTCAAGTAGGCAGCTCGGCTAGGCACATTTAAAAAAAACATTTCGAGATCCTTCGTAACGAAAGACCGAAAAACTGACTAGACTAGACTCGTTTTGGTTTACTTATGACCGCGTACGCTTCCTGATTGTGGAAGTGATGAGAAACTTTGTCCTCTTTTTTCTTATCGCCCTCTTCATCGGGTCTATCGGTGAACATAACCTCTTGGTAATCGTTGAACGAAGGCGGTTCGGGTGCGGCTGAAGCGTACGAAGACGGATACACTTCTTTGTAATGGGATTTGACGTTCAATTTGCTGGTGGATCCGAAAAAGTTGAGTTTGTCGTAGTAGGTGTCGCCCGTGTCGACCGGAGTGTTTTGGGTGATTATCGCTGGGGCTAAGGGTTTTTTCACAGTCTCTATTTCTCTTCTTACCTCGCCCCACGACATGTAATCCTCGCCTTCTTCGTTTAAGTGTTCCGTGTGATCTGGCGCGTCTATACCGTGAGTTTGCCAGGCATTTACTCTACGAAAAAATCAAAATGGTTGTTAGTACAAATATTACTACAATAGGAAAAAAAGGGGTGTTTTTCACAAAAAATAGAAATGTATCAAGCTATTGTAATTGATGAATCTTTAACTGATTAATTCAAAATTGCGGTTCGATTGCGGTGTTTATGTTTCCTCCTAAACAAGTGCAAAGTTTAGTGGTTTCTACTCACAATTTAGATTTAAATTTAACAAAATGACACCAAATTAAAAAAAAAAACATTTTGTAGCTAACAAAATTTGCTCATGTAATTTGAGTGTTCTTGTGAAAAATTTTGTGTTTTAAACTAAGTTCTCTGCATTTGAATGCAAGAACGTGGAGTGAAGAATAAAAAAAAAATTGCTGATAAGTAACAATTCAAACAACTAATCCAGTGGTGTACCGACTTTTGACTGTATTCCAAGTTTTAGATTATGCAGAACTTTTTATGAAGAATAACGTTTTTTCCTAAAATTAATAATAAAAAAGTTTTCCATATGATTCCAACTTAGGGGGACCTACTGTATATACCAACCCTTCCTTTCGGCAGCCATTTTATTTGGAATGTCAGGTTGGAGTTTTTGGGATCACTGATTTTGAATATGACATTAAAAATTTGAAATTCAAAATGGCGCTACCAATATGGCGCCCAAAAATATTAAAATCGCTTGTTTTGCATTAAAATGAAACCTAAAGAATGTCTATGGGATTTTTGTAGTAAACGATAAATATGACATTAAAAATTAGAAATACAAAATGGCGAATTCAATATGGCACCCCAGAAAATATTACAAATTGTTTGTTTTGTATAAAAATGAAATCTGAAAGTTTTTTGAGTGAATAATTTTGAATAAAACATTTAAAATTGGAAATGCAAAATGGCGGATCCAATATGGCGCCCGAAAATATTAAAAATTGTCTGTTTTGCATAAAAAAAAGAAATCTGAAGGGTTTCTAAGAGTTTTTTTGGGATAGCCGATAAATATGACATTAAAAATCAGAAATACAAAATGGCGGATTCAATATAGCGCTAAAAATATTATAATTTGCTTGTTTTGCATAAAAAAAGACACTTGACAGGTTCCATTTTTGGAGTCGTCCATAAATATGACATTAAAAATTAGAAATACAAAATGGCGAATAGAATATGGCGCCAGAAAATATTAAAATTTGCTTGTTTTGCATATAAATGAAACCTGAAAGTTTTCTAAGAGGTTTTTGGAGCCACTAATTTTGAATAAAACATTTAAAATTATAAATATAAAATGGCGGATCCAATATGGCGCCCGAAAATATTAAAAAATGCTTGTTTTGCATAACAAAATGAAACCTAGCGAGTTTCTAAAGGATTTTACGTTCGCTGATTTATTTAAATATTTAGAAATTCGAAATAGCGGATCCAATATGGCGCCCGAAAATATTAAAAATTACTTGTTTTGCATAAAAATTAAACCTGGTGGATTTCTAAAGGGTTTCGCAGTCACTGAATTTTTAAGATAATTAGAAATACAGAATGGCGGATCCAATATGGCGGCCGACAAAATTAAAAAATTGTCGATCAAACCTTGAAATACCACTATGGTCAAAACATACTTACCCGTATTTCGGAAATCACCTAAAGAATGTTTGGGATTTCGGATGTTCCGACTATGCTTAAATTTAAAATTTTCTAATGTAAAAAAAATTCATAACATTTTCTTATATATCGAAAAATGTTAAAAATTCGCATAGGAATAAATTCTTACAAATCGAGAATCGGCCTCGTGGAGATATTAGCTATGGCTCGTTGGTTTTTTAAAGTTGAAACTCCCCAGGAGGCCTATGTAACCATTACCTAACAAAAGAATTAGTAGTTTATCACCATATGCCTCGTTTTTTGTGCTGGGGGAAACTCCCCAGGAGACCTACATAACCACTACCTGAAAGGAATTGTTTTTAAGAATGATTTCCTTCTTAGATATTTAAATATACTAATTTTGTGGTTAATTCAAAGCTAAACAAACTTTTATATTTACAATTTTGCATAAAAAAAATATTTTTGAGTCGAAAAAGCGAAATATTCGAATTTTTGGAAACTTTGGCGCCCTCTACTTTTTACATTTATCAACTTACCGTACTAACCCAATGAGAGAAATTGTAGAAAATGCTGTTAGCTACTACGACCTACAGTTATACATATAACAGACAATTTCAAGTCACTGTTAACGAGTAGATAATGTACTGTTCACTAATTTTTGACTTTGATGTCTTCTTGAAAATAAAAAAGATTGTCAAAAATAAAACTTAGTATTTTTACGTCAAGTCTTTGGAATCAACTATAGCCTACCTTTCTGTGATAGGACAATAATCCAACATTAACGATTCATAAGTTACAAAAAACTATTTTTATTGTACCATATTATACTCCAGGCGCTCCCCAATTACAATAAACATAAATATAAATCTTACATGTGCTCAACCTGATCATATTTCAGATCAGATTCATACGATGAGTCGGATTCGTTTGCCGATTTGCTAACAGGTAAAAATTTCCTAGGAGGCTTGGTGGGTTTCAATTTCTGGACTGGCTTTGGTTTAGGTTCTGGTTTCTTTAGAATGAATGGTTTCAATTGCTCCAATTCCATCGAAGACGATTTACTAGAAATTGTGCTAGATATAGTTGTCGTGTCTGACAGTGATGATAATGAATTTATCGTTGGCGATGCTGACGGCGGTAGTGGAGTTCTAGATCTGGCTTCCATGGATAGCGCGGCATGAAGTTGGACGTCTCCGCAATCTAGAAGTGGAGACGAGGCTTCGCCGGAGAGGAGTTTTTTCATTGATTTCATTTTACTTGCAAGGCACCTAGAAAGAGACGTTTTTCAACTGACTTAATAACGTCAGAATGTCTATTTTATTTAATGCTGCCCGTGGTAATATTGTGACGAAGTCACTAAAAATTTCAATTAATTTATTCCCTAAATTAATTTCTAAAACTAATTTCCATCTATGAACATTTGAATATTTCCATAGAATTACCGTTTTTAAACCTTTGCAAGAGCCCTCGTAGTTTAAAACTTTTCATTATCACCATAAATTAAATTATGTCTTAAAATCTCAATTCTGGTAGGTTTATCAGTATGCCGATCAATCAACGTTTTTTTTTGCAAAACAACTAATTACAAAGGAGTAGGAACTAGTGTCCCCACTCTGGCAAAAGTCCGACTTTTGATAAAAGTAGACGTCTTTCGATGGGAGTTCTCTCTTCCATCCCGGCTTTTGTTGACTGTTGACCGATTTACGTGATACTGTGCTTGAGAGTAGTTTTGCCGTTCGAAACCGATTTTTCGCAATTTACATTTCGTGCACCAAAAACCGTTGTGAGGAATTAATCAAGGTAGGCACTTTATTTAAAATTCCGTCCAATAATTCTCCCTGCAACGTTCATTTTCCGTTTCCATTGTCTACTTAAGGAATTCGACCTGTACTTTTAATTTCTTTAGTACCTGTTAGGGTAATAAAGCAAATTTTCGCGTTAACCAGGGGGTGATAGCGGTATTCGCTTGTTCCCCCCGTCGATAATCAGAGCTGTTTCAGCCCCTAGTCTTTATAACAGCTCGGGGAAAGGGTTTCTCTCTTGTAGAAGCTATGGACTACCAGATGTCTACATAAAAGACTTTAAACCGAATAAATAAAAAAAAACGTCACTGTTACACATACCGGGTGGTGTTATTTCACCCAAGTTCCATTTATTTTATTTGTCTTCCATGTATTCCAATACTTAAAAACAAAAGTAAATTTTTTAATAATTATTTATAGGAGAGAACTTTAAATATTATTTTGTCCTACAAAGTTTACTATTAAAATACTACTCATATCAATTATTTTGTTCAGCTTTCTTCACACATTTAATTATTGCCTATTATTTCAGAATTTAACAAACTATATCTTAAAATTGTAACTAAAAATAGAAGTAAAATAGGTTTTTTTATTTTATCTATTGTTATGTTAATTGAAACACCAATGGAAAATTATTGCTATATTTTAAATTATTTATTAAATCTGCGCCATCCATTTTATATTAAATCTCATAGCACACTTTTAATTATAAAACCTATCTACTCTTCCTAGTTTTTTTTTGTTGCAATATAGCGATTATGAATTATCTTCTATAACTCAGGAAATTACGGAAAAACAAAAAGCTGTTTGTAAAACTTGGTGTCCAAAAAGTCTAAGAGTATCTACGAAAAATTATATAGACAATTCTTAGACTTTTTTCTCAGTATATTTAAAATAACTTTAAATCTGCATCGCTGTGGACACATTATTCAATCCTTAAAACACAATTAAATATAAAATATCAAATTGATAGTAGTAAAATCAGGTTACAACTGAAAAAAATCGAAATTCAAGTTTACTGACATCAAACAGAAGTATCTAATTCAATATTATAGACTAATTAACACTTACCTAAATATTTCTTGCTGATTGGGATGTTCCAAATAGAAAGTTCCTTCGCCAGATTCACATTTCCTCCCCGCTTCAAAAGTAAACTTCCCATTTTTATAGCCATACCTTCTAATATAACAATATGGCCAGTTATACAACAATTTACTGTCCATAATGTTCCTCAATTGTAAAGCTGTTTGAGTAAGTACCAATGTATAATTTTTACTTTCAAGACCACACCTATTTGACACGGCAGAGGGATGAAGTTTAACATTGAACACACCTTCTCCCGATGAACAATACAAATCATTATCTTCTTCGATGCTGGTTGTTTTAGATACTTCGTCCGGAAAAGCTACAGATTGTATAGCAGTAAGCCATTCGGTCATATCATATTCTGATGCTGTACCAAATTCGTAGGTATTCGTAGTGGCATTATTACTTCTAGTAGTCACAACAAAAGTTGTAAGAGATTTGGAATGTACTTTTATACAATTTTCTAATGGTATGAACTTGCTGGGTTCTTTTGAGTCTTGCGAATCGTAAACTTCTAGTCTTTCTTTTCCGAATTTGCTGGCTTTGAACAACATACAATACTTTTGGGTCCATGATTTCTAAAATGTTTTATTTATTTCATTAACGATATCAAATTTTTGATTTTAATGGGAACACATTGGATGTAGTTATTGGTTATTTAAATAATGTAAAAAATCAATATTTATAACATCCTGAACTTGAAACCTCCATAATATAGATAACACAGGCCAACAAAATAAAAAAATCTGAATTTGCCCGAAATCCAAGAAATCTAGTTCACAAGCGTGTATCGCGACAATGCCCCACCTTGTTTAGTCGTCGATATGTATGGAAATCAAAAATAAATGGTGATATACCCACTTTACTAAGTTCCTTCCAGTACCTTTAATTTAAATTCCTTTAAATTGGATTCTGGATTCAAAAGTTTCAACTTTCAATCTATTATTAAACCAGGAGGGAATTTTGACAATGTACTGGAGAATGTAGCTGAATTAGTAAAAACATTTTTATTATCTGATTTTGTGATTGTGGTAGCAGGTGCTAATGATTTTGACATGTCCAGGGTCCCTAAATTCAGAAATATTTGTTCTAAACTGAAACTATGTACCCACACTAACTTTATAATGGCGTCTGTTCCAATTTTGAGAAGACACAGTGACAAAAACTAATCAAAAAATTTAATTTGAAATTAGACCATTTTCTGGATAAGTTGGACAATTATACAGAAGGTAGAATGTTATATGTAAATATCAATTCTGGGTAAGGTGCCAAACTAAAACTGTCTGATATCATACGAAAAATTAGTGTAGCAATAAGTAATAGCAAATGTCTGTAAAAATTTAAAATTTATTAACACTGTGAAATCTAAAAATACAAACTGTAACATATCTACTAACTTGGGTTCTATAGATTTGACAGGTTTAAATGATTTTACTATTCTTTCTATTAATAATAGTAACTTAGGCTCTATAGATTTGACAGATTTAAATAATTTAACTATTCTTCCTTTTGATAATAGTAACTTGGGTTCCATAGATTTGACAGGTTTAAATAATTTAACTGTTCCTCCTTTTGATAACGTATCTATCACACCCACAGTTATAAGGATTTTTCCAAGTCTCAAACTCAAGATCCAAATTAAAAAGTACAATAAATATATTATATTTAAATGTTGAGAGCTTGGTGGCCCCACATTGATGAAATTTCTAATTATGTGTTGTCAAAAAACCAAATTTAGTATATGTTTCTGAAACTTGCTTGACTGAGGATATTTATGATTCAGAAATAGACATTGACGGATACACAAATTATAGAGTTGACAGTAAAAGTAGACACACAGGGGGCGCTTTAATTTATATACAAAGTGAACTGAAGGTTTTAAAATATTTTAAATTTTGTATTCCAAAAATTTGTTGGATTGTTTCTGTGATGGTAATATTAGGAAACAAAAATGTTTTAATTGTATCTTTATATAGGTCACCTAGCAGTAGTTGTATAAATTTTTTAGATTGTTTTAGCACTTGGACTGAAGAAAAATGTGATAATTCTCAAATAGTTGTTTCTGGAGATCTTAATATTGACCTGTTAACTAAAAACACTTACAGTGCGAAATTAAGTGATATTTTGATTGATACTGGATTAAAAAATATTGTTACAGAATGCACACGACCAAATAGAAGTGGTGGAGGTACACTAATAGATTTAGTTATAACAAATACCTAAAAGAGAAGCTTAATTATCACTCTAATGTGCACAATTATCCAACGCGGAACAGAAATAACTTTTATATTGAAACAGTTGTTAAGAGTGCAACACAAAATTCACTATTTTTTAAAGGTCTAAATCAATATAATGCACAGTAATGTCTGTAACTACATTCAAAGTGACAGATTTCTTAATTGATGAATATTTCTCCAGAAACAGTAACAACCTATAGAATTTTAGTTAGTTTTAATTGTATCTAAATTATCTATGTTTTGACTTATATGTATATTTTTACTAAATTTGTATATTGTGATATTAGCAAACTAGCTAAATAAAGGAAATAATAATAATAATAACACCAGTAATACACATAGTACAAAAGGAACCCCAATTGAACATATCACCAATGTCTCATATGGTACCACAGAACAGAATCCTGAAATTTGGCTTGGGAATCAACATGTTAAAGAGGATGCATTAAACTGGTTACAGACATACATTCATAGCTAGATATGTTTGTATTAGTTAATAACAGTTTTTAGTAAATGTCTTGCTCAATGTGGGGTCTTTCAAGGATCTCTATTGAAGCTCTTATTTTCTGTCATATTTATTTCAAAGACATTACCTGTTTAAATATAAGTGACAGAAAGTACATAAAAAAATATTGCTGCATCTGCTAATTATAACTCAAGCATTGTCGTCTAATAGAACATGCATAAAAATGGAATTGATTCATAAAAAAAAAATAATCAAATTTACTTCTATTTCTCTATTGGTAATTCCATTTTTTTAATAAGTTAAAGACATGTGTATATTGATATTTAAACATAAATAAAATAAAATAGGGAATAAATTTAGTTCAGATTCTATAATACAATTAGGAGTAACACAAGGCACAGTGTTAGGTCCTATTATTTTCTTAATTTACATTAACAGTATCAGTAAAATAAATAATTTCGAAGGTCATATAATATGCTATGCAGATGATACTGTAATAATTTTTACTGGATCTACATGGGATACTGTTAAATCTACCACTGAACATAACATGAAAAGCGTTTACAAATGGTTAGATAATAACAAACTTTCTCTAAACATGAAAAAAACTAAATATATAACTTTTTCTCCCACCATTACAGATTAGCCTAAAATTTTTTATATTACACTGCATAAACCATCTGTTTTATAATTGAAAAAACCAAATCTCTCAAGTACCTAGGAGTTATTGTTGATCAACATTTAAAATGGGTAGACCACATCAACTATGTTTCTAAACGACTAAGAATTTTAATACACAAATTTTATGAATTATGTGATATCCTAATGAGAAAAAAATTAATGATTTTGTACACAGCTCTTGCTGAATCTATAATTCAATACTGCATCCCAGTATGGGGTACAGCATTCCAATCAACTCTATCACCATTACAAATTTCACAAAATATTCTTTTTAAAATAATTTTTAGAAAGAGTATTATTCCACAAATCTTTTACATCAAGAAACTAAATTACTAAATATTCACTTAATATATGTTTACAACTGCCTAACCAGGATGTTCCATGATTCATTAAAGTTCACTACCCTGAATCATCAGAGGGATACTCGGTCAAAAACTAACTTTGATATTAAAACTGAACTTTTTCATAAAACTGCTACCCAACATTTATACGATTATACAAGAAAATGCAGATATATTTAACATCCCTTAACCATCTTGATCTTGAGAATAATATTCCTCTTTATTCTTGAAGTGTACTACTCTTGGGCGACTCGCCCAGTATTTTCTTAGCAACAAAAAAAAGCACAAGAAAAAACAGAAAATTTGTTTATTTTTAAATTTTGTAATTTTTTTTGTTTTAACTTTTATAAGCTAGGTATATTCATTATATAAGTTAGGAATGCTTATTCTATACAGAGTTTGGAGTCATGCAATGCAGTTCACGAAACAGACTTTCAAGTCTAATGTGATGCTGCGTTTGTCTGACTTCCATTTGTATTTAATATTTTCATTCTATCATTATGTCATTTAACATTGTATAGAATATTGTAATGTATTTAAACTGAATAAATTGAAATAAAAAATTGAATTGAAGATTCTAATGCACCAGTTACCAACAAAGTTTTCATTTTTTTGATGATTTTTTTACAATTATGTTCATTTTAAACACTTTAAAATATTATGCGTTCATTCAGAAACCATAATTTTAAACAGTAGGCATTCATGTTCATCACATTAATGATTTATGTAAGCAGAAATAATAAGGGCCCTATTTTGGATCCTTATAGAACAGAGGTTAATGAAAAATACAGGGATTTATATAAATGTTATAAAATGAAACATGTTTCTGTTCATAAGCTAGTTCATAGTTCATGTTTAGTTCATAAAAACACTATCACTATAATAATAAAATTGTCACTGCTGTAAGAAAAATAACTGCACTACATATAAGTATTTTTGGACAGAATAATTACCTTAACATACTCTTATTTTAACTACTTTTTAGTTAAGTAGAACAATCTTCTGAGAAGATTCTGCTGATGATTATAAATAATATAAAGATTAATAATAATTTAGGAATTTAGTGGTTATGTGCATTGTTATTGGGGTCACCCCCATACAGGAATTCCTCAGTTTAAAACGGACCAAATGACTGCTTTGTATATTTCTAAATTATTAAGTAAACTTTTAAACAATTCAAACAGGTGAAAAAGATACCTTAAGTAATTTTCCAACAGGCGGTAACAGTACAATTCCTTGATATATTGACTCCTCCTGTTCCATCTTCCGGACGTTAATCACCGTTTTAAACAACATAAAAAACTATCTTTTATCATCAAATACCACAACCACATAAATATTTTTATCAGAAATGAAAATTATTTATCATTCTAAATTTTCCTTGTTATGTACACAGTTGCCACATCAAAATACGTATCTGTCAATCTGTCATAATTATTTTACCTCGAAATCTGCAATATATTTGGCTCGTTCAAGTTTCTAAACTTGAGCATTATAATATTATCTTTAATTAGATACCTATCTTTAAAAAATATCCTCGATAATTATCTAGTTAAACATAAATAATATTTGAATAGGTACCTAAAAATGGCAACAGCGTTTATTTTTATTTATTGGTTGGCCGAGTAGCCGCTCCTCAACAACAGTGAATCGGAAATACCTATGCTGCTTTCATTTTGAATATGGTTTATGGGTAATTTACATTTTTTACACATTTTGCATAGCAAATAATTTTACGACGATGTACTATCTCATTCAACAAAAAATCAAAAATTTGCAATGTATGGCATGTATCATGTAAGGCAAACGATTTGTAAAGACATTATTCTGAATAGGACAGGACCGGCTTCAACAGTAAATGGAAATCAAAAACTACAAATCATAAAATTTAATATTTATTTTTTGATTGTACCTTTTTATTTGTTGTATGTAATTAAAAAAAAAACAATCAAATACCCAATGTGTAGAATTTTGTAAACAAATTCTGCTTTAACATTATACTATTCATCAACTCTTAATGACGTATACCTACACATTCAATAGGGCTTCTGAATCAAAGGCAAATTTACATAAACAATTTTCAATAAAATACAAAGGTAAAAGGCTGTGATAAATGAAATTGTGTATGCAGAAATTAAAACTTTATTAAATATAATTTCAAATACAATAATTAAGTAACGCGGCATTATTATTATTTATTCTACTAGACGGTCTGAAGAGAACCTAAAAATCACATTGACGATTGCTATTTTTGTCTTTGTGATATTAAAGGTCATAACACAACATCTCTAAAGTATATTAACTATCCTAATCTTTCGTCTGCAATAAGACCAGTTCCACATGACGCTGATATATCTGTACCTGTTCCACCTAAAGTATTACAGTCTATCGAATCAGAATCTTCAACAGATTCAGAAATTAACATTTTTGAGCCATCTACCTCAGGAACCCGTGAACCGTAGCTATTTTCTCAAGTAGAACTGAATGACTTCAGCAGGCGTCAGTGTTTTTAATCTTATGTATTTATTCTTATTTATTTATTTATTTGTTATTCCAACTTGCAATTATTGTTGTCCCAAGGTACAATTAGAGCTGTCCCAAGGCACAATTTTTATCCCGTTTAACCAAAGGCCCCCATTCACGAGCACGCAAAATGTTCAAAATGAGTGACTGCATTTCAAAATCCCTCCCTGAATGTTAAAAATTGAATGTACAGCAGCGCAGTTCTGCTGAATATCCAGACTGTATATGAATGAAAAACACCGAGTTGTCTGTGAATCCCACAATACAAAAAACTACATTATTCACGCATCCATTTGGAATGACCGTGAATGAACAGTTTCTAAACGATGCAAACGTCCGAACGATTTATTCCATTTGGAGTGATGTGAATGGGGGCCTTAACAGTTTACGAGATCATCTTTATGCAGGACATATTTTTATAAACCAATAAAAAGCGATCTAAAAGATTATATAAAAAATCAAGCAGGCAGCTTGGCCAGGCACATTTTATATTTAAAACAAAAAATAAACTAATTTTAAAAAAGAAAGACCGAAAAACTGACTAGACTAGACTTGTTTTGGTTTATTTATGACAGCGTACTCTTCCTCGTTGTAGAACTGATGAGGAACATTGTCGTCCTCTTTCTTATCGCCCCCTTCATCTGGTTCATCGACGAACAAACCCTGTTCGTATTCATTGAACGAAGGCGGTTCGGGCACGTCCATTTGCCAGGCATTTACGCTGAAAACACATCAGAATGGTTGTCAGTACAAGAAAAATAGTTCCAAAAAAATCACGTAATTATGCAATCCAAATTACGTGACTTTAAATGGCTGACGCTTGGCGAAAATAACAAAAGTACGTGTTTCCATTAACAAAAAACACTTTTCAAGCATGTGTCCCGGTTTTGCCAAGATAAAATATGGTCACCATTATATAAGTTTAATACAACACAAAAACGTCAATTTTTAATGTTTGAAAGTTTTACTTAACCGGCATGCTGTATTATTTGAACTATTTCGTCGAATATCTATGAAAATACGTGATAACATTCAGATCCTGCCTCTGAAATGTAATAAACTCGCTTGAGACTTAATATTGGACCGATATTATAGATATAACATCGAGATAGAATAAAGTAGAGACCACCTGAATGCTATTTTGTGGTATGAATGGCCGCACTTCGAGTGATGGAAAAGTGTAATCAAAATGGCTACCTAAAGTCGTACTTTGATTTATTTGAAGTTAATAATTTCATATTTGAAAATTGACGGAATGAAAATGGTTTTACATCATTCAAATAAAGCTATTTAAAAAAAATTGCTTTTCTTTTCACCAAAACTGACTAGCTCTAGTTTGACACATGACGTAAAAGTGTAATGCGAATTCTACCTCAATGAGACACACCGGTTAAATATCCACTCAGAATTAATTAAATCAGTCAAGATTTACTTCAGAATTTGGGTTTTATTCTTTAGCAAAACAATCGTTACACTGTGTTTCACAGAGAACGCACAATGAACAATAATTGTCAATTGTCATGCGTCATGATACGGCACCAACTTAAAATATTATTTTATGTAGGTTCTAAGATTATATATATAAAGCTATAGCTCATCAGCAAAAAGTAGAAAACTGGAAAATATCTTTAATATTATTGATACATAGTGAGACCAATAATGGTCCCAAATGGCAACCTTGTTGGATTTCATATTTGATGGATAGACTACCATCTATCATCATCATTTGAACTAATATTTTTCAAGAAAAGCGTCAATAAGTCAAGCTTTTTTAAATTAAATATGTTGCACTTAAGTGTGATTTACACAATCAAAAGCTTTACTAAAATCAGAATATTTGTGTCAATTTGCATATTTTCATAATATTTAGAAATAATTTTTTGTTGATAGACCATCAGAATGGTAGACCATCACAATGGTAATAATAACATTGATATTGGGTGCTATGATTGAACGTTTACGTTATCCGTAACGTACATGTTAGACCGAATTTTAAAAGTAACGAGGCAAGTTCGTATGATGGAACCCTGTTAAATTAGAACATAACAGGTGGAAAATAACAGTAATGTGTTGGAAAAAGTTTTCCATCGTACGAACTTGCCTTGTTACTGTTAAAACTCGGCCTAACATGTACGTTACGGATAACGTAAACGTTCAATCATAGGACCCAATATATGAATTACAATAGGTGTTCTAATAACAATCAGAAACCAGTCACTGATACCAGGATTCTGCGCAGTATATAATTTGGCTGTCGAAATAATCAACTGCGCAGAATCCTGGTATCAATGACTGGTTTCTGATCGATGTTGGAACAGATCTAATAAGTATTATAAATCTTACCTGTTCTCAATCTGATCATATTTCTGAAAAGATACACCCGATGATTTCATAACGGGTAAACATTTTCTTGGCTTGATGGGTTTCAATTTCAGGATTGACCTTGGTTTCGGTACCGGTTTCTTTAGAACCAACGGTTTAGATGTCTCCAATTCTATCGAAGAATGTTTACTAGAAATTGTGCCAGATATAGTTGGGTCCGACTGTGATAATAACGAATTTATCGTTGGCGATGCTGTCGGCGGTAACGGAATTCTTGATTCGGCTCCCACGGAGAGTGCTTTACCAAGTAGGATGTACCCGTTATCTAAAATTGGAGACGTGCCTTCACCCAAAAGAAGTTTTTTCAATGCTTCCACTCTATTTTCAAGGCACCTAAAAAGAGACGTTATTTTCTAAACCGATATAGTGATTAGGCGGTCGCGGTCTTGACCATGCTAGCCTCGCAGTGAAGCTCTTTTCCATGTTTTATAATAAATGCATTTCCACTTGGTGTTCTCGGGCTATGCTCGCTCGCATCTCTTTTGATCTTTTCCAAATGATCTCGGAAGACCGCGATGCGATCGAGACGAGCTTGGCAACGTCTAGTGCAAATGTTTTTGATGATCGCGTACCATGCTAATTCTATGAATCGTTTAAAATGGAAGTAAATTGTAAATGTGTAAGATATATTTGTTTTATGATTGCTGAGTACTGTATTTCACCCGTGCTGGAATATGGTGGATGAGAATCTAATTTTTAGATAAAAAATTTACGAAATTATGATCCTGCTGGTTTTGTGAATATATGATCCTGCTCATGGTACTTTCCAGATGACATACGAAAGGACTGAAAAATCCAATTATTTGAATAAAGAATGAAATGTACCCTCTACTTGTTAATTTGTTAATAAAATGAACCTAAAATCTCGCCCACCATATTTCTTTCGCGCTTTTCTATCTCTTCGAATGGAAGAGACAATATAATAATATGAATTACAATGAATATACTTATAAATCTTACTTGTTCTCAGTCTGATCATATTTCTGAACAGATACATCCAATGATTCAGATTCGCTAGTCGATTTGGTAACGGATAAACATTTTCTAGAAGGCTTGGCGGGTTTTAATTTCAAGACAGGCTTTGGATAAAGTTCCGGTTTCCTTGGAACGAACGGTTTCGATTGTTCCAATTTTATCAAGTTTGACGGATTTCTCGATGTAGCTTCAATGGACAATGCGGCATCAAGTTGGAATTCGCTATCTAGGACTGGAGACGAGGTTTCGCCGTAAAGGAGACTTTTCATTGATTCTATTTTATTGACAAGGCACCTAGAAAGAGTCGTTGTTTTCTAAACCAAAGAGGTTCAAAATAAAGCGAATATGAAAACTAAAAGGACAGGTGGCAACCCTATCTGTACCAGCCTTAAATATAGAAAACTTACCAAAATATTACATTATGATTTGGATGCTCCAAATAGAAATTTCCTTCTCCAGATTTACACTTCCTCCCGGCTTCAAAAGCAAACTTTCCGTTTCTAAAGCCGTACCGTCTGATGTATAAATATGGCCAGTTATACAACACTTTACTGTCCATAATGTTCCTAAGTTGTAAGGCAGTTTGAGTAACCACCAATGCATAATTTTTACTTTCGAGACCACATCTATTCGACACGGTTGAGGAATGGAGTTTGACATTGAACACGGTCTCTCCAAATGAACAAACCGTATTATTATTTTTCTCGATGCTGGTTGTTTTAGATACTTCGTCCGGAAAGGTTACAGATTTTATGGCGGTGATCCATTCAGTGTTATCGTATTCCGATGCTGTACCAAATTCGTAGGTATTCCTAGTGGCATTATTATTACTTCTAATGGTCACAACAAAAGTTATAAGAGAGGTTGAATGTACTTTTATGCAATTTTCTAATGATATAAACTTGCTGGCTTCTTCTGAGTCTTGCGTATCGTATATTTCTAGTCTTTTGTTCCAAAATTTGCTGGCTTTGAACAACATACAATACTTTTGCGTCCATGATTTCTAAAATAATAAATACTTAATAACAGCTTAATCATTTTTAGAGCCCTACTCTTAATATTTCTCACCCATATTTTCAATATTTATACCTACTACTAATATTCACAAATGGGACACAAAACAACTATAGATTATCTGATTAAAAATAAGACGAATAAACGAAACTTATAATAATAAAACCGTCTAAATAATACTTCTACAAATCTTTTTGTCAATGAATCAGAGTACATCTAATTAATATCAATATTGTTAAAATAAAAGCACAAGTGGCCCATTCTTCGTAATAACCCAGAATTCCGTCGAGTTCCCAAACTTCAGCCCATAACAAATAACAGGAGATACAGCTGTTCACTGATATACAGTTGTAGATCAGGAGTAAAGAGACATGTGGTGTGAGGTATGGGACGGGATAAACTGAAGGATTTAACGGCCGTATAAATGAATATATGTGTAAGCCATTGTATGCCTATAATAAACAACGTAGGTACAAAATGCAAGCCTATTGCCACATCTAGTACAAATTACTTGATATCCAACTTAACATTAACTAGGTTTTGGAATTTATTAAAAACTATTACATCTAATTTAGTAAAATTATATCTAATTCAGTTAAATTTGATATAACTAATGATTCAAAATTTTTGGGGTTCAGTTGCAATAAAATAGGTTGAATTATTTGATATGTAAATGATTTTGTATCCTCCTGTGTCCCTTAGAATATGTCTTATTCATGACAGAACGATTTTATTTGTAGTTACACCTCCTGTTACCTCTGCTTGTATCGAAAGGTGTAACCAAATTCGTTATAACTTAGATAAAATATTACTTGATCGTTTCCGAAATTTGGTATTGGTAAATAGGTACCTACCACCTTCATCCCATAAATTTTAATCCAAAAACTGATTTGGACTATAATTTTGGGAACTTATGAAGTGATTCATTTTCGAGATATTTTGATTTTTTTAATAAATTTCCAACGAGAGTACATGACTTACAAAAAAAAATTTTAAATTATATTCCAAATAAATTTTTAGACGGGCGTAAAATTTACTTATCCATGTCGTACGTCACTGGCAAAGTTTATATAACTGATATGTGTATCTTATGATACCAAAAACGTTTGCCGAATTTAGTTAAATTATACTAAATAATAAAAAATGTATAATCATTAATAATTTTCGAATTTTCAACTTTAAAGCCCTGTATTTTGGAAGCAAGTGACATTTTACCTAAGCATATTTTGTTTAATCGTCTTATTTTTATTCAGAGGATCTCTAATTGTTCTATGTTCTATATGGTACACCCTGTATGTAAATACAAACAAAAATAGAAAAAACAAAAATAAACTAAAATGAAAATGAAAACGTAACAACGAAACAAACTCAATTTTAAATAAAAGTAACAGTAAGTAACAGTATTCCATACGTCAAAATAAAAGGACCAAAATCACATTTCTTTATGTAAAAATGAAACATAACTTTAATAAAATAATATACGAATTAAAAACAAACTCTTTTTCCTATTTTAATATCTGCAAATTCCCAAAAATTACAATCTTTTCTCCGTCATACTGTGGTCAGATGGGAAAGAAACGCCATCAACATTTTAGACAAACGTCAGAAACCGACAATTTTTAATCGAAAGAGAACATCTTTCTATCGTATCCTCAACAGTTATACGTCATTCCCCTTCCATCCACCACTCTTATCAATACAATTTCAATAAGGAAAGTACCATCATTGAAAAGATAATTTTATGGAGATTCTAACAATATGACTGTTCAATGCTATAGTTTTTATTTTAGCGCCCTCTAGCGGGATGAAAAACTGTTACGCATTGTGTTACTTCGTTTGGAAGCTAATTTCATTAATAATTTAATGCACAGCATAACAAAACATGATGGAATTAAACATAAACTTAATAAAAAAACCTTATATGAGAAGAAATGCAAACTTTAATCGTAATCAATCAAAATAACAAATTTATGGTAGGTATATATTAAATTATTAATCAAATTAGCTTTAAATTGTAACAGTTTTTATTTCGCAGGACGCTAAACTCAAAATTAACACAATTAATAATCATATTGTTGAATTCTCCATAAAATTATCTGATAATGGCTTTTTTTCGTTTTCGTCTGGCCACTCTGTATATTTGTTTTTATTTTTTTTTATTTGGTGTCATCGGCATCAACTAGGCTTTGTTACTATTTCCCACCGCCATTTTAGGAACAGCACTGTTAATTAGAAGATTATCAATGAATAATGGTCATTTTTATTCGCAGCTACCTACAGGTAGTGTTTAAACATCTTTAATAAGGCATATAAATTGGAAAATACATCTATTATTCCTTTATCATATACGAGGGGAGTTGGATGCAATTGGCGAAACTCCAGATTTCAGGCTTCATTGGATAAATAACAAAAAATGGTCAAACAGGTCTATTCTATTTTTTAGATGCGCATTTTTTGATAAACGTCCTTTTTATGACGTCTTGACTATTCGAGATATGTCGTCATCACTAGTTTTTTTTTTATTGTACCAATTAAAAGAGCACAATTCTTCGCATACCTATATACGAAAAATTTCGTGGTTTGTTACAAAACAATATTTTCAATAAAAACCTCTTACAATTCGAGAGACGCTAAAATGGTGGTTTTCACCTTATCAAGACTGAGGCCCACAAGGGTAAACTCGTAGCGTAACATGATGATTTTCCCATGGACTTAATTATTAGATTTTGACCAAATTTATACGGAACCACCCCTGAATTCCAACGAATTAAGAAACTCCTTTTTTTAAAATCGGTTAATTAAGTAAACTTATAAACAATTAAAATAGGTGAAAAAAATACCTTAATTAATTTTCCAACAGGCGGTAACAGTACAAATCCTTGATATATTGGCTCTTCTTGATCCATCTTCTGGAAGTTAATTACCGTTTTAAACAACGTACAAAAAAAAACTATCTTTTATCATCAATTACCACATCCACGTACCCAAATATTTTTATCAAAATTTAAATTATTTATCATTGTAAACGTACGTCAACTCAGCCTAAGAAATTTAATTTAATACATTTTAATGTAGGTACCTGTTTATACATATTGTAATAACACAAACAGTGAAGATTAATCGTTGTACCGAAATAAATCGAAATTGGGGAATTTTGAGTATCAAGCTGAATTTTTTCACTTTATAATCACAAAATAACATTCTGTCACTAGGGTTAGAATGAAATGAGTATAAAATACATGAGAGGCAAGTTTTTCAGAATTTTCTTTCTCCACGGCCACTACCGAATGTAGTTTTACCGAAACCACTTATTGACATTGAAAGAAAATTATGAAAAGCTTGCTTCTTATATATTTTACACGTATTTCATGCTTACTCTATAATAGCTACTAGCCAATGGCTGTTAATATCATGGTATAAAAAATAAAAGGTAGGATATCAAAAGTGTCAAAAATAGGACGGCCACGCGCATAACGTCACGCGTAGAGTTTGTATAGGCGCGAATTTAAAAATACTGACGAAATGTGAGGAAAATATATGCTACTTACAGAAAGTTAATGAATATTAAGGATACTATTTTAGAAATTACATGAAATATCTATGGATATTATTATAGGATAGTTAAGGAAAGAACTATGAAGGAACATAAATGCAAATACATACATAAGAGAAGTATTTATTTGAACAGTTTTTTTCCTTTTTCTTTTTTAATGATTCATTATGGTTATACAAATTCGACTTCTAAAGACTAGTTTTTATAACCAGGATAATGAAAAGGGTATCTTCGCAACTTGAAACTGGGGATCCTGGTAACAATTTTGCATCTGGATATGCCGGAAATTTTTATCTGATTACTCATTTACCTGCACTAAATTACCCAATTGAATAAAAATAAATTTAAAAAATATGTGTTTTCATATAATATAATGCAGACATTCATATAATATAATGCAAAGCATAAAAAAAAATGTACGAAATACAAATAACAGCTACATAACATATTGTGGGTGCATATACAAAATTAAAATAAAATGTCATTGCAATTTTCCTGGACAAAGTCGCTGACAGTTTTTTTAATTCACTCATCAAGTACAAGTCGAAATTTTCTTTTTTTTGCCTCATTTACAATTTCACTTTTGCTTATATTGCGCCTTCAAAGGGTAGAGTCTCCAGTTTAGAAGTCCCAAGTGGCGATTGAACCAATGTGAAGTTCTAATTGGAGGTTCCTCTTATAATTGGAAGGTTGAAAGTGCTTGGAATACATATGAAAATTTATTTGCAGGGTTACGAGCCACTGCAAGGGCTGTTCCATGTCGAATTTTCTTGAGAAGGAGGGTAGAATTGCCTATTTAGCATATTTTTTTTAATAAAAGGCTCATGGATTTTAAGAATTTTAATCTAGGTAACCCCATGCTCCTCTAAGCCTCCGCTGTAGCCGCCCTTGGGCCACTCCTCACTTCTGACTGAGCTCTTACTGTCGAAGAAAGCGAAAAACCATAATATTTTTCTTGAATCCCTTGCTTTAATTGTTACTGTTACATCCGTACCGCAATTTTTCAAAGTTTTTCACTAAAAGCACTTGGAGAGAACAAAGTTTACAACATAATATAATACAAATATCTGTTTAATACCTTATAAATTACTATAAACGACTCCCAAACTACTGCAACATGCGTCTGTCATATGATATTTATTTCGCGCCAACTCTACTAACTCTACGCATGACGTCAGAGCCGCCATGACACCATGCGCGATATCCCCCCCTGTGTTAATATCACACCCGCATCGTAGATAGCCATGAATTTCATGAACGTCAATTCTACGAGATTATTTAGTTTGAATATGCTCGAATAAAGATAAGCTACATTTGTTGAGTCGAACTTAAATTCAAAAATGGGTGGATATAATGATTCTAACTGAAATTTTCACAGCTGGAAATGTCTGATAATATTTTGATTTATCCATCTCGTATAAAAACTTAAATATTCTTTAAAAAATACTGTGAAGTTGAATATTGATGGGACAACCACAAAGACTTTTCTTTAGTTCAGTTCGTAATGGTATGGAGGAAGTCTTAAAAATGCTCAAAAGAGTTATATAAACAACTATATAACAATTTGTTAAAAAAATTGTATATTTTAAAAGCATTTTTAGACGCTTATATGGCTCTTATAAACACGGAAAAAGCGCAAGTTTATAAAATAAATGTGATTCTTAACAGTTTTATTATGGGGCATAAAAGTAAGTATAAAACATTTTGGAGTATGTTATAAAATTTTTATGTAACAATTTTTTTTAAAGTTGTATTATTGGAACTGTCAACATACCTATAAAATATGTTTGTTTCTGAAACTACTATTATATCATAGTTTTATGAATATTATATATTTGTTTTATAGATATGGCTTACGAACTTATTAAAATATTTAGAAACGACTTATAAAATTGTTGTTTAACAGTCTTATAATTATTTTGTAATACACAGAATTGATTTATTCGCAACATTTAGATTTTATGCAACACAATATAGTTTTACAGTTACGTAAATTAAAATTAAATTGTTGTGACAAAGACAAAACAGATTTTTAAGATGCTCAGAATAAACAAATATATAATGGCGATAGTTTTCATGTAATAAACTATATGCATATTATGTTCACTGTTTATCCAGTAATTTCTTCTGTCACACAAATTTTAGTAACATATATATATATATATATATATGCCTAATTATGGGAAAATTTTTACGGGCCCTGAATTTAATTAGTTGTTATTAAAAAAAATACTTTAATAATTTAATTAATGTTTCAAAAATTTACCTAAATTAGTAAATATTTGATAATGTTGTGTCTATTGTACAAAGTATTTGCTTATTTTCGATATCTGAACAAACTAGTGTAAAAATTTATTAATAATTTTGAAATAGTTTACATATAAAAACATGGTAGACATTATATTTACTGTTTGATAAACGTATCCAAGATGGAGTCAATCAATAAATCAGTTTTGTTGTTTCGGAAACAATTATGTAACTAAACTATCGTGTAGTTGTTTCTAATAAAGCAATTATATTTCTAAATTGTTATATAATGCTTATTTTTAAGACACATTCGTTTTATAACTGGAAATGACGTAATATCTCTTTAGATACTTTCGCATTTCCAATTTTGCCATATTTCTAATAAATTAAAATAATTTTAATATTATTAATCTAAATTAAGGTCTAAATCTTAACCTTCATTATTTATATCATAATATGTTTAAGATGTGGAAATTGAGGATTGGTATTAAAAATTTCTTTAAAGAAAACTTTTATTTTGTAAAATGATTAAAAACAAAACCTATTTTAATACATTTCTAAGAAAACAAAAACAACAAAGAATACACTACAACTGTTCCCATTTTTCGTTCGTGTTCCCTAAAAATTAAAGGAACCCTATATCTCGCTATCCTACCCTTCGATTCATTAATTTATTTAAAATCAATAATCAATTACATGTACCTTACAAATTTGATAATCATAATAATAGGCAATAAATTGCGTTGCGTCGCGACGTAAAATTTTTGGGGAGCAACGTATCTTTCCAGACGTCGTCGTTGTCAACAAATTGAGGATCAATCAATTAGACATGTGGCGCAAGTCAAAGAATAATCCGCACTATAACCTTCCGACGAGGGCAATCAATGGACATTAAAAACGTTTTTACCTTTACGTTTAGCCTCAGTTTCGCGGTCGAAGTCATGGTGGTTTGAATAACACGCAAATGTTCGATCCAGGGTGAAAGGGAATATAGGTATAATATGAAGTTTTTTCGAAATGTTTATGATATGTGCACATTTTCCTGTCTCAGCACTCTATGCCCTTGACTGGCACTTTAATGCACTTTGCTTTGTTTTGTTTATGGATAGGTATTTTGGTTCAAAGGGTTTATTATAATATAAACAGCCATCTCTAGTGAAAAAAAGTCTCGTATATGATGCAGAAATATTCGTAAATACGTATAGTAAAGAATAATTTATAATGAAGTTATGGAGATGCGATCAAAATAGTATCTACAGACACAATAAGTTTACAAAAGAGGATGAAAAGAAATAATAAAATGGTTGACACAAACAGATTGGACATGCCCTCATAAAAATACTTCCAGAAATACAGATAGACTAGTGTTTTAGGGAATTTAATTCTTGAGTATATAGTTCATCCATTTTTCTCTTAGTTTCCTACTTTACTGAACAATCTTTATTGTCATTTATCTTAATAAATTATGAAAATAGTCTAAGATATGATCCTTATGGGATTCCCTGATATAGCTTCAAAATTATCCTCAATTTGGGGCCTTTTAAAAATAAAAAATAAAAAATAAACACAAATCTCAGTAATTGTTATTAGAAATAAGTAAGTTGTGATTGACTACCAAACGCATTGCCGAAGTCATTGAACACAGCATTCACTTCATGCGTTTGTCCATGAAATATAACATACAGTCTGTTCGCTATGCTTACGCGGGTTTCGGATTAACAAAATTATGCAAATTAGTCATTGACAACCAGTTCCAATAAGCCTCTTCCCAAGATATTAGGTAAAATTGCCCTAATGGTCAGATTTAAATTAAAATAACATTAGGGTAGGTACTAAATTTGTTACAAATATTGAAGTTGAATTGATTCTTTGCAAGTGTTGACATTGTATGTATATTGTAAATTTAGTGGAAATTTTAAAAATGCCTAGACATGTGTTAGATGTAGATAGTCTAATTTGTAGTGTATATAAGTATTTTACGGATGAAAAAGAAAATGGCGGTCCTTTAAAATCGGTAATGTCTGTACAACAACGCGTATAAGATGGCTCTAGGAATTAGTGAAACCAAATTAAGAGGAGTATTACAAAATCACAATAGTGAACTGCCGAAAGAAGATCACCGCAAAACTCGCCCATTATTGAAAACGAAAGATATTCCAGATGGAAAGAAATTTGAAATTCGTGATACCATTTATCGAATGAGGGCCAACAAGGAACATGTGACCTTAAATACAATTCTCTAGAAATTAATAGATAGAAAATTTGACGACGTTGGCAGAACA